AGAATAACTAAATAAATAAACTGAACTAGTTTCAAGTCTCTGGTCTTTATATATTTTCATATTAATCCATCATAAGACCAATCTCTTTTTTCTTATCTAAAAAGTAAGGTTTTTCTCTTTAGATTATCAGGATATTTGTATCCTAAAGAATATAAAAAAAGTTTAACAATGTTTTTCTTTAAATCTTTCTTTTTGATTCACATTCTTCTTCTTTTAAATTCATTTGCTCTTTTTGTCTTAGCATGCTTGTGTTTTGTCAAAAAAATTTTTGTTTCAAAATTTGAGCCTTTAAAAGATTATTATTTAAAGTTAAAGCTTTTTCAGACAAATAATTTACGTTATTATTAACATTAGTATTCTTAAACTTGTTTTTTCTAATACTTACTGGAAAAAAGAACTTTTTTTTTTTTTTTTTTTTTTTTTCTCATCCTTTATATTTATCAAATTTCTAGTTTGACATAAAAAATTCTTCTTTTTCAAAAAAGAGAAGAAAATAATGTGACCCTCCTTATCACAATAAGAACAATGATATATTTTAGTATAATATGTGAGTCGTACGCAGCGGAATGTATACAGAAAAGTTTTAGGTTTTGTAAAATAGATCTGTGTCGTTACCAACTTTACTTATTTTAGCAGTTAGATAATTAATTGCATGCACTAAAATAAAATTAAGTATAAAGTTAGAGATGACATTAGGATTTTAGCGAGGAAACTCCAATTGATAAAATACGTCAACTGTAATGGAAAAAACCTCGTGGACTTGTGCAGTCCAAAGTAAACCAATCCACTATGCTTGGAACAAAGTATATCGAACTTTGACTCTGGCTCACACCCTATCGTTCTACACCACACCAACCGCTGACGATCCTCTAGCTTTGCGACTCCCCGTCCAACAGCAACTTGACCTTAGGCTTACACTTGATATTTGTAGAAGAGTAGCAGGTAGATCAGACAGCACTACGCGAATGCTCCAACCCTTCCAAAGTGTGACTGCGTTTACTTTTGTTCTTCAATCGTCTGAACGATGTAGAAAATCTGCTTTGCCTGATTGATGTTAATACAATCGTATGATCACGATCAGGATTTAAACACCACAACTCTAAACTTTGTGTTTATGTGTATGTGTTCTAAAAAGATATCAGAAAAATCAACTCTGATTTTCTGCAAAAATAATCTTCCTAAGGCTTTGAATAATATTTGAATAATAATGTAAAAGCCGTGAATAAACCAATGTATATTACATAATTTATATAGAGTATAGAATTACCTAATCCCTCTGAAAATAAGGTAAATTCCGTGCATAGGATTTGTTACAATTCTAGACCAACTGGGAAATAATTCAGAAAAAGGAAACTGAAGTTGTATTGCAAACCGGACATCTTGAACCTGTTCAAGGAGGCTGAACCGGTTCAAGTTTGGCAGTGACTCAAACTTGAGCATCTTGAACTGGTTCAAGGAAGCTGAACCGGTTCAAGGTTGGTAGACCTGAATACTCGAATTCTTGCAGCCTTGTTTCATTCTATTGGAATTTTAGATGTAACATGGTAAGTGTAGAATGTCAAACCTTGTTCATATTCTTTCCTGAATTAGTGTCCTTACCTTTTTCTTCACAAACTCTTCAAGTATGGTAAGTTTGAACTCCTTCCTAGTTTTGTAGTCCTGTCGACCTTAATGACTTGTAGAACAAGTAATTACAACTCAACTTGGACTTGTTATGTTGACGATAATTGTCAAAAAATAAGTAATATCTCACATAATATATTTTATAATACTTAGTATAATAAAATTTAGGGACTTCTATCTCCTTTTCAATTTCAATATTAGTAGTGGGTGCATCAAATTTATCACAAATCCTAAACCACTCTCATCTCCTACGTGTTTATTCATTCCTAACAGTTAATTTAATTTAGTTACCCTTGTCAGTTTTTAATAGTATCCTTTCCAAGTTCATGTTTGAAACTATATGTTCAATACATTTTAAGGCTTTCAGTTTCTAACTTGAAGACGTTCATGCTCTATGCTTTTAAGCTTTTCAACTTCTAATTTAAGTGCATCTCTCTCCTTTTTATTAGTTTTCATTTTGCACTTAATTTTTATTTTTCTTATTATCCTTGTGCAAAAATAATTTGTATATCCCACTATAATCAAATTCTGAATCGCCATCACATATAGGATTAATATTTGACAATTTACTAGATTTTGAACCAACATAACCATTGTCAAATCCAACGGGTAAGTGACAATTCAGGTTTTAGACCGTATAGCTCAACAATAAAAGCAGAGACATTTATAAGTTCTAAATGAGATTTTTATGTTTATTTTTATAATCCATAATTTCTATTCTCCATAAACTTAGAGATCAATCTATTTAGCATTTTGTTTTAGGCACCTATATCAATTGAATAATTAAATTATCTTTATTATAGTTTCGACGTGTCAATATGAATCAATAAGTAGGGAGAGTGTAAATGGCAATCCTCCTCTTCTTCTTCTTCTTTTTCTTTTTCTTTTTCTTTCATTTTTTTTTTTTTTTTGGGTTCTTAAATTAAATGACGTAAATCCCCCTTATACATAGATTCTTATGAATAGAATTAAGTAAAAATTAGTTTCTGTGACTAGTGGTAAAGGTGTTGACGACAATGTAAGCTCTACAATATCTTGATCAAAACTCGCCATCTAATGAAACATGATGATGATGAAAACAAAAATATGTTGTCTAAAATATTTTATGATATCTCTCTCTGTTGTGTGTAGAGATCTCTCTTGTATATTTTAAATGTGTTATGTGAGCCTAGAGGTTTTTATTCAGTGTTTTGAGCCCAAATAAATTGGGGTTTCTTAATTTCAATTAGAATATAAACCTAAAGCTTTTAGGATTTTGATTTTGAGGAGTTTCCAAAAACTATCCGCACACAGTTTGAAAGTTACTTGACTGCTTTGATTGATTGAGACTTCATTGAAGCATTCTGGACATCAATTAACATATTATGGAAGATTTTGGTCGATACTTATTGTTTTTCTAATATTCTTCTTTAAATATATTTATTCTAAAAATAGTTTAGTTAATTCAAACATATTTGTCATGAATCCAACGTGTATGCGTTATGCCCTAAAATGAATTATGACAAGAAAACATGATAATGAAATCCTAATTAGTGCGTTAATTATTCAAGATGTGATTTTACTTTTTATGTCTTTTGATGTACCTTCAAATTCTAATTATGCTCTGACATAGTTACTACCACAAACTACTTAACTAAACTAACTAGTGAATTTTTTTTTAAAAAACTTATGTTACAAATTTGTCAACACTAAGTTCTAATTCTAATTGATCTTTTAATGAAAAATAAGAACAAAATATTGCCTCGATGGAAGCTGCTGGATCACTTTAAGCAATGGTGGTGTTGCAGTGGCAGTGATATAGAGTGATGGTGATGATGATAAAGAAAGAAATTGTGAAAAGACGAACTTCATTTTCAGTTTGGCAATGTGGTCGCTATTTGTTATTCATTCTTTTGGAGCATTATTCTTATTATTTTTCTCTCTCTCCCCTTTTTTATTTTTTTTGAGTTTTCATCACAATCTTAAGTAATTGACAGTGAAATACAAGGAATAAGTGCAACTTATTGGAGTATCCGGCATGCGGAGTTCATGCATTATAGATTTTAGATTTAGTGTCATGTGAAGTAGAATGTAATAATTTACATTTACATAGATGAATATTCTTGTAAGATTTTAATTACACACGGGAGCTTTTATGAAAATGTTTATCTATATTAGTATGCATGAACGTGGTGTTTCTTCTTTCAGTGAAGGGCCAGACTCCAGAGCACCCATGAAATAGGATATACATCAACCCAAGAAACTTGTCTACCAAGGGATCTGGAAATATCTAATTATTAAGTAAAATCATTTCTTACTTGAAAACTTGTCTATCATGGTTTCTTAAAATATCTAATAATTGTGTAAAATCATTACTTACTTGAAAACTTGTCAACCATGGCATCTTTTGTTGTGTTTCCACCATATAAAGTTTCAATTCATGAAGTACATTATTTGTCCACAACCACCAGTGTTCAATATCTTACAAGGATCTGTTTTTGCATTTGTTTATTTCCAAAAATTGTGAGGAACTATTAAGCTTTCCAAAATACCATGATATTTGCTGTTTACAGATTTGGGCAAACGGTTTAAAATTTGCATTTCTATCATTCTTAAAAACAAAAACCCTACTGTTTCATTGACAAAATCTTAGTGCTAGTCAGTCTGGTTTCTCTCTCTCTCTCTCTCTCTTTTTTGCTCTAATTAGTTTGGGATAAAGACAAGGATGGGTTATGAGTCAGGTTGGTTTTTCTCTCTAGGTATCTAGTTCAGTATTGGAGTGGGGTTGTTAATATTATCTTTTGTCCTTTTGGTAAATGGGAAGACAATATCATCAACCAGCTTCGTCTAAACCACCAGTTCTAGTTTTGATATCTTCTCAATTTTAAGTTTAAGAAGAAAGTAACAATGGACTTCTTAGATATTAATTAATTTGATTTCTAAATTAATACAACAGCTATTATAACCATGATGCGTTGTTTTCCGGTATTTATTTTTAACATGTGGAAGGATATATAATTTTATTAATCTGACACAGTGGAAGTCCAAAGTAGACAATGCAATTATTAGAAACAAAATCAATCATAATTTGTCGATAATCGAGTATTGAGCAGATTGAATATTGTGGTCCTCCATCTTCTATGATCAAGGTTTAAAACCTAAGTTTATCTATACTCTCTGATACATATAACAGTTGGAAAATTATATATGTTTAGATTGTTTCTGGTGTTGGACTGTTACATATGCTTGTACTTCTATAGCAGAGGCATGCCCCCTTGATTTTTCAGTTAATTTTCTTTTCAATATATTTACCCTTTACGAAGAGAAAAAGAACTTGTATATGTTTAAATGCTGCTTTCTGTGTTTAATTTTTCCTCTTTTTCATGGAGATGCTTCAGTATAACCAAGACTATAGAACGGTATCAGAAAAATGCCAAAGGCCAAGGAATAAAAAAAATGGCATTTGAAGAAGATATACAGGTTAGTATTCCTTTTTCTTTGGTTGTACAGCTACTCTTCTGCCAATAGTTGTTAGATATTATCATATTGATTGCTTTTAGGATCAACTTATCTTTCTGGTGGTTGGGGTTTAAAATTATACATTAATGACTTCAAATGGCATTAGTTACATATCAACTGCTTTCTACAAAAAAATTAATGAACATGAAAACAACAGATTGAGTTATGCGGCTTATGCCTTAATGTTATTTGCATCTAGCACTGAGGCTTCATTTGGTGTATGGGATAAGTAGGTTCGGAAAATGTTCCTTGGAAATCCTTGAATAGTATGCTTCCAACATAAAATTGTAGGTACTTCGCCAATCAAAAACCTAAAATTTTATTTTAAATGATAAAACAGCAGGAGCTATGCTGCCTAAAACTTGTACCTATATTGCCTAAATTTTGTTTGTTATTCATGAAATACACAGGAGCTACGCTGCAATAATATGACATGCTGTATGTACTCTAGAATCAAATTGAGATTTTTATTTGTTCTACTGAGAAGAAAACGGCAGAATCAGTTCATGTACAGATGAAGCAACACGAGGTGTTTGTCATTGTGATTGTAATACAAGCATGCTACATGATTGAAGTGGTTGCATCTGATTAATAGTTTAGCAGAATGGGTCTTATTATTTAGCCTATATAGCAGAAAGAACCATCCCAAAAGAAATAAAAAGAGCCAATATTTTTGCTAACTTTGGGGATGTTGAATTACTATCAATCTTCTTCTTTTTATTTATTTATTTATTATTATTATTATTATTTTTTTTTAATATTGAGACCCCAGATTTATCGCCACAAAATGCAGCCTTATATGGAATAACAATTTTGAAATTTATTTTTACCTCTGTTATCCAATGCGTAATTTAGGTCACTGATGCTAAATTACATTGCAGCTGTTTAACACAATCATACATATGTACATATTCGGAACCCTTCATCAATTGCCATGTGTTTTCTTATATTTCTCCTTAATTAGCTAATGAATTTGCTAGTGTTGCAAGCATTTAATTTCACTTGGAGCCATAATCTTTGAGCTTTATGCAGTTGAAATAATTTAATATTTCACATAAAAAACAAATCTTTTGATTGTGAGGATATATCTTATGATTGTGCATAAAATAGTTTCATCTGCTACCATATGATTTTGTGAATATATCAGTTCCCATCAAATGCATGTCCTCTGATGGACCACCTTTTGTTGAGACTTGTTTCGTTGCTGATGGCAATAATTAACACCATGAATTTAGAATGAGACTCGAGCACCTTTGTCACTAACTGTCTTGAGTTGCAGCATTTGAAGGAAGATGCTGTTTCAATGTCAGAGAGGATTGAGCTCATTGAAGTTTCTAAACGGTTCAAAGCTTAGTTTTGACTTTTACTCCTAAACCTCATATATACATTCATTTTGCATTGACAATTGTTCTAACAAATATGAAAACCGCATTTGTAGAAAGCTCTTGGGGGAAAATCTTGAATCTTGCTCTATTGATGAGCTACAGCTGATAGAGGATCAGTTGGAGCGAAGTTTAAGCAACATTAGGGAGAAAAAGGTATAATTGATAAGAAATTTGATTTTCTTAATTAAGCAAATTATGAAGACAACCGCATGTTAATACTGTTGATGTTTCTTAATTCTCAGAATGAGTTATTCAAAGAGAAGATCGACAAATTGAAGGAAGAGGTAAAGTGTTTCTTTGAAAAAGTATAACAGACACATACTCTCTCACACACACATTTTAGGATAGCTTATAACATTTCTGATGCTGTTACCTTTTTATTTGGGGTAAATCAGGAGAGAGTCCTAGAAGAAGAAAATGCAAAATTACGAGAGAAGGTGAGGTACTATTACATTTATATTATTCTGCTTCAATTCAGTTGACATTTACTTAGCTCATGAATGTTGAGTATTGAAAATATAGGAGAAAGTAATTTGGGTTTGGTAGCATATATGGTGCACCATAATTAGATTAGTCCATTCTAACTACCTAGAGACGCGACATTTTGTGTGTCGTCTGATAAATGTTATTCATCTTTATGGTGATAATCGGCAGTACACTATGATTTTTAGTGTAGGGCTGATATATATTCATGACCACATGATTGATGTGTTCAGTTTGAGCAGCGATCAGAACAACTGTCAGTAATGAAGCAAGAGTTACCACGGAGACAGACTTTGGATGTAGAGACTGAGCTGGTCATAGGACCACCTGAAAGAAGAACTACCCATAACTAATTCTTCAAAGGACCATGTGAAAGAAGAAAACTACACATATAAACTAATTCTTCACATGACCATATATGTGAAAGAAGAAGAGCTGCCCAGAACCAGTTGTAAAGTTAAATGGTAAATCTTGAATAAGCTGCTACTCTCAAACTGCACCATTACTAAGCTTTCAATTTGCGCAGAAAAATAATTATGAAGCTCATGGACGGACACTTGAAGGAGGTGTGCCATTCAAATAAATGATTTGTTTGTTTAAACTTGTGTGCCAAAGAGAGTGTTTGTGAAGAGAAAATCTGTACTTTGACATTTCCAGACTCCATTTTATTTGCGTGGAACATACCAATTATTATTTCTTCTCCCGCTTTCTTCCTACATCTTCTTTCCTTCTTTTCTTCATTGATTGAAAGTGACAATATTGGACCACACTTGTTAAACTGCTATAGAAATTTTAATTTATTGCATCACCTTCTCTTATTCATGTATATATAGAGAGAGAGACAGAGAATGGAGAAAGAAAATTTAACCATGTATCAAGTCCCGTCACACTCATTTGGTTACATTTATGTTGAAATTAAACAAAAATTTAATTAAAATTCTATACCAGAGGAACGCCCCCTTTGATTTTTCAGTTAAATTTTATATTAATGTTTAACTTCTAATAAAACTCATGTCAAGTACTTAATGATAAGTGCAACACATTACCCCGATCGTGGAGTACATTATACCATTTGAAATCCATGTTATTATTTTTCAACAAATAAATATGTGAATTCTTTTTTAATAAAAATATTGAAATAGTATTTAGCAATTAGACAAATATTGAAATCCATAAATTGCCAAAATAAATTATTTGAAGAAAAATATTAAATTTTAGACTAATATCAAATTTATTATTTAATTAATTTGCAAGGCATAACTGAAAGTTCAAAAACAATTTGTTATGAATGTGAATATTTCTCAGAAACTAAACTTATAACTCTATTTTTGAAGTTTAACATAAGACTTATTTGTGTTTTTCTTTCAAAAATTGTATTAAAAAAATTAGGATAGTTCCTATAAGAATATCTTTAACAAATCGGATTATTGTACATTTTTAATGAATCCATGCAGGTGGGTGGGGGATGAAAATGTTAGTTTGATATATTAAAAATAGTTAGAAGGTTAAATGAGTAATTTAACATTTTAATGGCTCAATTGATAAGTCAATTCATTAGTTAAAGGGCAATAAGGTTCTTTTACTTGTATCAAAAGATATTTGGGATGTGATTGTTCAATTTTGTAAATTTGGAAATATCATTATTATCCAAGTTGTAATTAAGTATTTTTAACTTAAATTTGGGAGGTGTAAGTGTAATTCACCTCAGGTTCACATTAATGTTCTTTTTTATAAGAAAATGTGTCAAAATCACTTTATAGATGATGATATGCCAAAAAAGGAAAAAAAAATTGTGCAGTGGTTCACTTTTGTCCACAAATTAGGTTCACATTGACGATGTGATAAATTCCAAACGTATGCCGTCCTAAACAGGATTTCTCTCTCTCCAGAGAGAGAGAGAGATATATATATATATATATATATATATATATATATATATATATATATATTACACACATACAAATAAATACCAATGGTAAAATAAGAGGACTTGGTCATCGTTGGGCCATTGTATGGTTCACCGGATCCCTCTTGTTCGGGGGATTTGGTGCACTGCAACACACTTACATCCCCAATAAAGTATAATTACGTTACAAAATGAAACAACTACGTAATAATTTTTAAAAATTTATGCAATATATTTATACTGAGAATATAATATTCATGCACCATATTATATGCTCCTGTCATGTTACCTAAGTGATTGCGTTGCTCCCTCTAGTTAAGAGTTCTTGTACACTATCATCCTCTAACCACTAACTCCTAATATTATTGTCATAAAAAAAAAAAAAATACAACATATTACATCATGCAGCTTTGTAATACTATTAAATTAAAATTTTGAATAATTTGCACTTACACCCCCAATATTTGCGATAAAGGCAAATAAATACAATTTAGGAAGAACGTGATCCAATTATCCCTCCAAGTTTATAAATTTGAACAATAGCACTCCCAACCATGATAAGAGCACGTAATTGCCCTTTCATTTTTGAATTGACCCATTTAAATTATCAAAGTACAATATTAACTTTTATCTTTTCATTTGACCAAAATGACCCTTAGCAAAAATAAAAAATTAAAATTAAAAAAAAAACTTCAAACTTCACCTCTGTGGCTGTTAACGCCATATGCATACTGACTTCAAGATCACCCTATATATATTTTTCTCTTTCTCTCTCTCTATATATATAAAATATATATATAAAGCAGCAATATTTAACAATATTTTTAGATGCATCAAGACAAAAGTTTCCAGTTTACTAACCCAAAGTCCATGGACCGGAATTTCATTGGAGTGATTTTGTTAACTTTATTTCCAAAGTGAACTAATTCAAGTCAAATTTGTTCTCGATCTCCTGATTTGCACCTAAGAGTAGATGGTTGCTGGGTTGCTGGAGTTGGGTTTTTGATAAAAGGATCTATGAAGGTTAATATTGTACTTTAATGATTTAATTAAATCGGTTAATTCAGAAGTCAAAAAGTAATTACGTACTATTTTCATGGTTGGGTGTAGTTCAAGTTTGCAAAATTTGGGATTATTGGATCACACTCTGTCTAAGTTGTACTTACGTGTCTATATATAGGTGTTTTATTGTCAATATAAAAATTTAATACAATTACAAGCATGTTATCCGTATTAAACAATGTGGTAAATGGAGGGTGCCGTCTATATATAGGTGTTTTATTGTCTTTTATAAAAATTTAATACGAGTACAAGCATGTTATCCGTATTAAACAATGTGGTAAATGGAGGGCGCCGTGTGTAGTACAAACATTAATTGTATTGGAATTTGTAATACAATTCATGGAGCCAGCTGATCCCATTAGTTTTTCTTTCTTTCTTTCGTTAAATTAAAATTTAGGCATATAATTTATCAAAATTTACAAAGTGTCCCTCTTGAAATTATTCTTTTCTAAAAATATCTCTAATTCTTCATTCTTACTCTTCTTCTTTTATTTTTTATTTTTTATTCTCTTCAAAATATTTGCATTCCCTTTATTCAATAGAAAATTTATTTTTCTCCCTCAAAGTTCTTTCATATTTTTTTCTTGTTATTTTTTTCTTCTTCATTTTTTTTTCCTTCACTTATTTGTATTATTATAACTGAATGAGTGTAATGATTTTTTTTTTTAATAAAAAAATCAATATAATGTAAATACCATTTGAAAAATAATTCAAACATGTTTTTTACATGAAATATTGTGAAACAAATTAGTTGCCAAACAACTACAGAATAAATAAATAATTATTTACCAAACTTGCTTTTATTTTGGAATAAATCACACCACCAAAAAAAAAAAAAAAACCCTCTTTCATATGAAATTTAAAATGCAAAATAAAACTTGTTGCCAAAAAAATCCTTAATGTTTGTGTTTTATGTTTTGGAATTTATTTTAAAGCATTTTTTTTTTTAAAAAAAAAAAAACATATTATATGAATTTTGAATATGCAAGTCACACCACTTTTATTTCTCTACTTGTTGTCTTACTGCACCATTAATTAATAAAAAAAGTATTTTATAATAATGTTTAATACAATGCTGAATAACAAATAATTGATTGCTCTTGTATTGGGAGTAATTGGGGTGAGCCTGACATATCAAGTCATTGTTTCGCTCGTTAATGAAAATCGACGTAACAATTAGTTGAGAGAAATGAGATCAATTTTGAGAAATGATAGGCTTTACTTGGTTTGTAATTTTGAGAATAGAAAATTGTATAAAAAATACTGCTTAGTTCAGTTTTTTGAAAATTCAGTTATAAAAAGGTCTATTTTTAAAGAATTGTCTTTTATTATTCTCTAAAAATTATTTTCTATTCTTTAAATTCTTAAAAATTATTTTTAAAATTACAAATCAAATCAAGTTTATAAATTTTTATTAATTTGATATACCTGACACATTAAATACCCGTAGATCGAACTATACACAAGTTTGACAAGCGCGTGGCAAGTTGGGACTCAAAAAAATATTAATTCTTTATTATAAAAATTTTATACGCATATAAAAATAGTGGACTCTGTCAAATGAAGTACAATAGTAGAATACTTATGTTGTGCGGAGGATCCCAACTAAAAGAGACTCTAATCACATGCCATTGGACCAAAAACAGAGTAACTGCAAATAACCACCGTGGTTATTGTTGTGGCGATACTACACATGTCGAGATACCAATCAGCCACGTGAAAGTTAGGGTCGCGTTTGTAATCAAGTGGACAAGAAGTTCAATGCTTGAAGCAACCGACATGTTATACTGAGCGGACTCCCAACTTGACACGCATTCTTCTCTGTCCTCTTTCTCTCTCTCTTTCTCTCTCCTCTATGCACCGGATTTTTTGGAAGCTATTATTCTTCAAAGTCTCAATTTGCTAACCAAACCATTGACACGCATTCTTCTCTGTCCTCTTTCTCTTTCTCTTTCTCTCTCCTCTATGCACCTGATTTTTTGGAAGCTATTATTCTTCAGAGTCTCGATTTGCTAACCTAACCAGAAAGCAAAGCAAAGTCATAAGTAAAAGCAAAAGCAAAAGCAAAATCAAAGGCCAAAGAAGAGTGAACTTGCATACTTCTCTCTCTAATCACTTGGTCTTAGTAATAATAATATATATATTACAATACAATATTTGGGTGGCCTTGAGAGTACTTGGAAGCTATACACAGTCTCTCTCTCCATATCATCTCTTAAAGAATGGGTACTTTGACAACTTGTCTTCTGCTCCCATCAGAGCTAAAGCCTTCTTCACTCCCTCAGCAACAAAGATCTCTTTTTTTCTACAGTAGAAGACCACCCAAGAAGAGTCTATCCATTTTCCCTGTAATTTTCCATTTTTTGTATATATTTTTGGTTCTATTAATATGCATACATGTGTGTTTGTGTGTGTGTGTGTGTGTTTGATGATGGGTGTGATTGGAACAGGTTGCAAGGTTGTTTGGGCCAGCTATTTTTGAGGCTTCAAAGCTGAAGGTTCTCTTCTTAGGAGTTGATGAGAAAAGGCATCCAGGAAAGCTTCCAAGAACTTACACACTTACACATAGTGACGTCACTTCCAAACTCACTCTGGCTATCTCTCAGACCATAAACAATTCCCAGGTAATCTTATTCTATAACAAACCATTTTAACTCATGATATTATAATTTCTATTTCCTTTCAATCATAAATTTGGGAACTATATATATATATATATATATATATATATAACTTTTTGTCATATGATAATTTTGACCTTTAGCTTCTTTATTATACAGAACAGAGGAAAGCAGGGGATTCCATATAATAATCATATAATAAATATATCAAGTACTTTATATATATATATATATATATATATATATATATATCAGAGCGATCCTAATCTGCCAATTCCAGATTTTTTTTTTTTTAAAGTAAATAAATAGTTGCTATTTTTGATTTATTTGATAATATATTGATAAAATATTTTGCCGGATTGTTTGCTTGCAGTTACAGGGGTGGTACAATAGGTTACAGAGAGATGAAGTGGTTGCAGAGTGGAAGAAAGTAAAAGGGTTGATGTCACTCCATGTTCACTGTCACATAAGTGGTGGTCACTTCCTATTAGATTTGTGTGCTAGACTCAGATACTTCATCTTCTACAAAGAACTTCCTGTGGTAATTAATTCCATCTTAATCCCTTAATCTCTTATTTATTTTTTTCAACTATATATATATACATATATAGGTATATGTGTATCTGATTTGAAGACTAATATGAACAGGTCATAAAGGCTTTTGTCCATGGAGATGGGAATTTGTTCAATCACCACCCAGAATTAGAGGCGGCTTTTGTTTGGGTTTACTTTCACTCAAACATTCCAGAATTCAACAAGGTGGAGTGCTGGGGCCCACTCATGGATGCTGCAGCACCTTCTGGTGGGACCCAAAAGGAGAAGGGTGAAGCAAGCCCATCAAGCAACTGGGACATCCCCAAAGCATGCCAAGAAGATTGTACTTGTTGCTTTCCACCAATGAGCTCAATTCCATGGTCTCATGATCTTCCTGGTCAGGATCAAAAGCCCCACCAAAGCTTACAGCAACAAACTTGAGAGTATTTGTATATTTGATTGCTTTATTCCTCTCATATAGTGTTGTTAAGGCAGGTCTTAGTCCATCAAAAAAGTGATTTATTGTGATCTGAAGGTCACTGGAACTTCGAATGTGAAGGTAATTAGTCTTTGTTTGACCCTCACAAGACACAGGACTCCAGATTAGCCCTAGGTGTGTTAAAGAAAATGTATATACATATCTTCTATTCTTGTTTCCTCTCTCTTTTCTGGGAAGTGACTGGGACATGACTGCTATAGTAGCATCCGTGTAATCTAGGGCCAATAGAAACAACTTATGGCGTGTTTTTTGAAAGTTACGCAACGGTGTTTGTCACCCTCTAATTCTAACTTCTGCTTTAAACGAAGACTCATCTTTCACCAGCAACTCCATGTACATCCCCAAGCAATCCTTTGTGCAAGCTAGTCTTGGTCTAATCATAGTCATATACTGCCATTCGTTTTGGTACAGTGGAAAAGAAAAGAAAGTGCAACACTAATTAGGAAAAAGAAAAAGAAGAATAAAAAATGTATAACATTAGGTAAAAGAAAAAGGAAGGGGAAAAGAAAGTAAACTATTTTACAGAATTTACTATTGTATCATTTTCCACAAATTTTGTCTTTTATAAAAATAGAATCCCCCCCCCCCCCCACCCCCACAAAAAAAAATCTATTCCAATCATAATATTTCATTACTAACGAAAAACAAAAAACATAATATTTCGTTTCCCTCAATGTATACTTTCTTTTATTTTCCTTCCATGGCCCTCCAACCAAAATTTATTTATTTATTAATTTTTTTTTTCTTTTTCGAGGGTATTTTAGATATTTCAATTACTAAATTGACATAATGTTCTTATTTGTAGGTAACTTGATAAGTTTTATTACTTTAGAATTTTTTTTTTTTTTTTCACTAGAATTTTATACATGATTTTGAAAGTAAGAAATTTTATGATTTTAGCCAATCTTTATATGAATTATTTTATACAAAATAATGTTAAGTTTCTTCAAGCGGGGCTCGAACCCTCTCTAAGAGAGGTTATGCCATTGGTCTAATGGCCCTTACTCAGGTTGAGAAATGCTTTAAAACTCCAGTGACAAGTGAAGATCTTCCTCTTTGTTTGAAGCTTATTAGGAGCTGAAAAACCCAAAAGTATTGATAAGAACAATTTAAAGTCATTCCCAATACAAAAAAAAAAAATCATACCCTTTCTTCTCATTTCACGAAGGAAAATAATAGTGGAAGGGAAAAATCACTATTCCTCCGTTTTCTTTCTTGTTAGAAACAAATAAAACGTGTATTTCTTTTGTGGCACGCATTTCTCTTCTCTTCCACATCTTTGATATCTCTCTTCCAAGGGAAAAAAAGGGACGTGTTGCATGTTCCGACTGTATTATATGGCCTTATCACTTATGGGTCCCTTATATAGAGGGTTGATCGGATATGATGATAACCATTCCACTTCTCTTTTTCTTTCTTCCTTCTCTGAATTAATGGATGGAATTGGTCCTTTCTTTTCCTTGTGATAAAATAAAATTATCCCGGTTTTTACTTCCCTTCTCATCTTCTTTTCTTCCTTGGGGTACGTGCAACTTTGTATCTAAGATGAACTGTAAAATTGCACATACATATATAGTATATATATATAAACAGTATATATCTTGAATTACTGTACTAACTTGAGTTCTTAACAGAACCTAAAATAGTAATTCAATCACATTTCGTGTTGGTGACGGCTGGGTCGGTTGAAAGGTAATGACAGAAAATGAAGAGAAAGGAATTTGGAACAAAAACAAGAAAGAAAAAAAAAATGATTCTCTCATATGGCTGGTGATGCGGGAATCCCTGTGTCTCTCCCTCATTCACTCAATTCAACCTTCCGTCTTGGTCTAAGCAATCAAGGGATTAGCTGCAACTGAAATGGACATTTAAATAAACTTTGACTAAATTCACAACTAATTTACATAATGTCTATTATAGGTCAGTTTCGGCGAAACGTGCGAAAGAGACTTCCTAAAAATCTGGAAGCAATTCACAGATTTCAAAGTTGGCACCTACAAAATTAGAAAAAAATTAATTAGTAATTATTTAGCAACAAATGAGGGTTTGTAAATTGAACCTTTTGCTGATCCTATCTAAACTAAACAGTTGAATTGTCATCCAACCTTTAAATTGGCCGAGACTTATTTGTTTCGACGTAAAATATTCTTTTAAAATTGTTTTTTTTTTTAGGTAAAATATTATTTTATTTTTACTTTGTCGGTATTTGGCAAAGATCTACGTTGAGATTGAAGTCGAATTCATCGGGTATGGCATGTAAAATAAACTTGTCAAAAATTTATGGATAAATTATTTTTGTTAAATTTTAATATTTTTTTTTCGTAAATATTTTACGACAACCGAACACTAGAAAGTAAAAAAATATTTTCTGAAAAATAATTTACGTCCAAACAAACGGAGTCTAAATAACATTTATAAAGGGATAAAAATTTGTGAAGCATGAAGAATGATTCCTTTATTCTACTTTTCTTTTCATTCTTATTTCTTAGAAGTATACTTTTTTCTTCTTCTTATCGGTTTCTTCACCCATCTTTCACCCCGTAATCTTTATTTCTTCTCTACCAAACGAATGAAGGTTTTTTTTTTTTTTTAGTTCTCATCTTTCCTTCACCCATCTTTCATCCTTCCAAATAAAGTGATGATTAACAATTGATAGATAATCTATAGAGAGAGAGGGAGAGAGAGTCTTAGACTCTACCCTTCTGCATGATTTAGAACATCATCAACATCTCACTAGAGACATTTCAAACCATCAATTTGCAATAATATGATTTGTCGCTGCCAATCATTCCTCAGCCTTTAGCAAATTTCTTGGTTACTTAAAATCTGTTCCAAGCATGACATTTTTGCCGAGCTTCATTTCGCTAAACCTTTTTCCTTGTAGCAAAGAACCCTACATGCAAAGACAAACAACTAAAGGCTTGCTGGTAGAGTTGATTTAGCTGCAAATGAACCGAGCTTATTGAGCTTGTTCATTACAACAAGCTAGAGACTTACATGTAGAATTGCAAATGGACGAACTGTTCATGAACAATTAATTTGAAATTTGGGTTATGCTTGTTCATTAAGTTAAAAAGTCAAGCTCGAGCTCGAGTTTGATTTTTGAACAAGCCAATTTTGATCGATTAGAATCAGCTAGTGCTATATGTGTTCATGGACAAAGACTCATGAACACATTTGCAAACGTAGGGTTGTGTGTAAGCTTGTTCATGAACATAAATTTGTCTAGACTCCTATAAATTCATGAACGAGCCAAAACAATCTTGCACACAAGATCAAACAGAGCCTAAATACAAATATGTTATCAAGGTTGGCTTTTTATATTAAGCGAACTTAGTCAAGCCCAAGCTGAACGCACTAACGAGCTGAGGCTGAACAAACTGAAACTCGACTCAACTCGATTCATGTGCAATCTTAGTCTAGGGGTCACTGGATTTAAGTTCTTCCAAAGAAGAAAGAGATAAAAAAAAAAAATAAAAAAATAAAAAAAAAAAGATGCCCTAATTTCACTTTTAGTATTTTTCATTGACAGTCCCGCCACAAAATTGTTTCTCGTCTTGAACAAACTAGAGAAGGTGGGGAAGTGGTCAAGGAGAAGGAAAACAGGGAAAATGCAAGAAATTATCTCAATTCACATCATCAATGGTATAAGTGTATGCTACCCTTTTTAAGCAGCATAAAAGTAGGCATCGACTATTAATGTCCATAAAAGATTTGAGTAGTCCATATGAATCTCATATATGTATGATATGATGGTCAGGGTTCATCAAGGATGATTGATCTATGGAGAATGAGATACCATGAATACCAAGTTCAGAGATAAAAGATACGTAACACATTATGGATGATCACATTTCTCTTCATCTAGCTGCAATTGATGCACGTATTAGCCAAAGTTGCCATACAAGCAAATACGCATCAAAGGAATTAACGATTATGAGACAGACAAAAATAAGGGCAGCTTGAATATTACAAGTAAAGCATGTGTTGTTCTATTAAAATAGGTCATTTACATCATGAAAATTTGCACTCTTCGTAGTGTACAAGGCTATAGTAGATTTACATATGAATATTATAGTACAAATACATTTCAATATACACCTCAGTTATGCAACAGCCACCGTGTCTGACTATGAAACACGTTTCCCCTTCTACAAATTGTGTATGATATATGCCTAGTCGGCGTGCTTTGCCTGCAATTTGTGATAGCAATGGTACTGATCATATTTTAGATCCCTTCACATGGATTCTTCCTGCAATCAGGAGCCTTCGTATTGTTATTTACTGTGTCAACAAAATGCCTAATGGATATAAGTTATGCAAAGTTGCAAACAACCCTTATAAACCACAGCTAGGCTTGCAATTTGGTGAGGATGTGAAGGGCCTCCGGTCTTAGACCCTATGTTAAACAAAAGAAAAGAGAGAAAAAAATGTAATGGGACTATGAGAGGATTAAAAGAATCCACCTAGTCCATTATGGTTCAACCAGAATGGGATTTGGAACAGACTAGCACCAACAGCAAAAAAGCAAGGTGAGACTGGTATTGAACTCAGTTCCAATGTCATATGATGATGAGGTTAGTATAAACCAAGAATTCATGTCGGAATGGCCTAGTCAACCAAAAGTTGCAGCACTCATCAGCAAAATGTTAATTGCAAACAAAAGGGTGCAAAAAATAAAAGAAAAACAATCAACCTCAGTGACATCACTCTGGTTCTTTATAAGATTCCGTAAACATTAGTGAGTAGTTGCTGAGTAGCTTCTTTGACACATCAACTCTACAACTCTACAACTGCTCTAATACTATCATTTCTTTACAAGAATTTTAAGGTAGACAGAGAGTGTACCTCCGCTCATGCTTCACTTCCTTCTGGTAAGGTAATCAAGCGTGTCTTTGAATCATATACCAATTCAGTTCCACAGCTGGGGAAGAATTATTAACAATAGTCAAAAGTTACGGGAAAAAGATCCTCTTTCCTTTTTAAGAAACAGAGACGCAAAAAAAAAAAAAATTGATTGCAGGAACATAGATAAGGTATCATCAAAAGGTCCAACAATTAATATAATTACCCATTCACTTACTTGGAGCATTTGAGAGTGTTGGTGGTACCCCCACTAGCAATTGACAGTATGGTCCCAAAGAAGGAATTATTCTCTGTACCGCAGTTCGGACAGGGACCCTATAAGTATATAATATTTTTGTTAGCTTTGCAATACATAGCAACTGCAACAATTACATGATTGTCTATATAAATTCTTATAAAAAAGGTTGATAAGGACCATACCTTTAAAATCAAGAAGTCTTTCACAACAACATTTGTGATTGTGAAAGCTAACCACAAGATGAAGGGCAAAGCAGCAAACCATGTGAAAATGAAACTGAACGGCTCTGGAAGCTGTAACCCGAATTTATAAAACCAAATATATATATAACAGAAATATATATACGCTACAGAAGAAAACAAATGAACTATTTACACAAGAAAAAAACCCAACTATATCACATATGCTGAACTGGCTTTATCCCAGTCACATTTACTTCCTTTATGAGTTACTACATGATTCTCTGAGAGAGGGTGTCCAAGCCCCACTTTAAAAAATTATAGACCACAAGTTATAATAAAAAAAAATAAGGATATGTGCACAATTGGCATTGTCATGAATCACAACTGGGAATTGTAAATTAGTTGAGCCAAGATTGAACTTGAAAAAGAGAGAACGAAAATGAAAAAAAAAAAAAAAAAATTACGCAGGTTTAAAGAGTGGGGATATTCTCAATTTGTAATGGAACTAGTTTAAGGATAGAGAAAATAATCAGAATCACTCATGCTGTTCAAGTAAATTAAGAATATGATTTTTTAAGATCAATTCATTCAGTTAGGATGAATTCAGGAAATTTGTTAAAATACTGTTGGTGAGGTTCTCCACTGAAATTATCCAAGGGTAAACTATCAGCTGCATTATTCACTTATAGCACAATTGTTATGGAATATTCAAGATACTTGAAATTCTGTAAGTATAAAAAGCAATGCCTTAGCCATCTATCTGATGTTGGCAACTTGGCACAAAGATTTTTTCTTTACCATTTCAATCCATCAAAAGCTTTTGGTAACAGATCTAATTTCGTTTCTTTTCTTTACAATTTTTTTTTTTTGTTTTTTTTTTTTTGGTAAGTTAACAGATCTAATTTTTCTCACCAAGTTAAAACATTTTTTTGGTCTTCCCCTCTCCAATCTTGCACAAACAAACTTGTACCAGTTCACAAATTTCACATTATCCAACCAGCATCATCAGTGATGACCAGTTTTTTCAATGTTTCAGCACATATCTTTGTTCCATAGATCCTTTAGAGGATTTTGAACTAAAATACTTGCCTCTGATTTCATTCTCAATTTGGTTGAGGAATTTGACAACAATTCAGGGATGAAGCTTCATACTGGGAATCAAAGGGTGAGGCCACAGGCCAATAATACGTTTACAAGTTCGGGTCATAAATTTTTCCGACCTTAGTTTACAATGTTTATGGCGACATCAAAGCCAATAATAGTAACACTTGGTACTCATTATATCACTAGTGATTTGCAAGCAATAATGTAAACAGGTTCTACTGTGTCTATGGGATTTTTTCAAAAATAAGTAAGAACCGCTTTGGAATTCCTTAGTGAAGAACAAAATGTTATAAAACTCCATACCAGAGATAAAAGATCCGAGGTAAAAGGGGGAAGTTAATTTCCAGTCATAGGTACGGTCAACTTCACATTGTGAACAACAGCGTTGCCAAGTACCAACAAGATAGATCTAGCTATTAAAAAACTTGTGGTCATTGTGTGGCGCAATGGTAAAAGCTTAGTTCCCAAGTGTGGGAACATGGGTTCAAGTCAGGGGAAAACCAATTCGTGCAACTTCCCCTGAGGTTTGGAATTTACACCATGGATTAAAGTTTCAGCAAAATCACTCTGACCCAGTGTCATTAAAGGCTCAAGGCGCTAGAGGTCCTTTGGAGCCTAGGCGCGAGGCGCATGGCGAGGCACGCTCCTGAGTGAAGTGAGGCGCACAATTGAAATTTTAAACTACTATAAAAGCATTCGTATCTCATAAGTCGTATCAATATTCTAAAAATTAATATCAAATATAAAATAGTAAATTCATCAACCATATAAGCATGAACCATAAAACAAAGCACAAATTTGTTTTCTTGAAGGCAAAACAGAATTTGTTTTTTTGAATGGAAAAACAAAGCACAAAAAGAAATAAATCTATTAACAAAAAAAAAAAAAAAAAAAAAAAAAAAAAAAAAAAACCAGTGAACAAGAAAAGGAAAAAAAACAGAGCCAAAAAAAAAAAAAGATGCAGAGACAAAAGAAGTAGATGAGAAGAGAGAGAAAATGTGAAGAAAAAGTTAGGAAAAACAGAGCCCCCCAAAAAAGAAAAAGACAGAGAGAGAAGAGAACTAGACGAAGAGAGAGAAGTAAGCAAAGATGAGAGGAGAGAGAAGTAAAGGAGAAGAGAGAGAAGAAAGAACTGACATGGCTTCATCGTTTGTCTCAGTAACTAGGGCTTTGTCGTTGGTCTCACAGTCTCACTCTTTCTATGTTCACACTTTGACTCTTGGGCTCTCTTATTTGTTTGTTTATTCTTTTGAACAAAAGTTCCTTCTTTCATAAGCTTAGGCTTTCTTATTAGTTTATTAAGTTTCCAAAAGTAGCCTTTTTGGCTTAAGAAACAGAATAATTATTTAAAAAAAAAAAAACAATGAGGCTGCGCCTAGCAAATAGGACGAGGCGAAACCGAGGTACGCGCCTAGTAAATATCAGTGAGCCTGGGATGACAACAGGCGCTAGATCTGCGCCTAGAGCCTAGACGCGCCTAGGTGCGCCTTTAACAACACTGCTCTAACCTACCTTGGCAACGTTAACATTTACAATTTTCCCCCATGCATAGATATCTGATATGGTGACTATATGTTGGTGTAATTCTTAATGTGCAAAATTACAAATTTACCCCTTATCTTATTTTCTACAATTTGTCAGTTTATGTTTGGTCTGAGCTGTGGCGATTGGGTGGATCTGTAGGTGGGATTTGGGGGGGGGGGGGGGGGGGGGGGGCACTACCAGCTTGAATGAGTCCAAGGAAACCACTATAGCACAGTGGGATTTGGGTGGGTGGGGGGGGGGGGGGGGGGGGGGCGCGCCAGCACCAGCAGCTTGAATGAGTCCAAGGAAACCACCATAGCACAATGTTCAATAATACCCCATTGTGACTGTTGTCGTCATCCCTCATCTAATTGAAGAATTGAGTGTAATTAAGGCAAAAAAAAAAAAAAATCTTAAATTTCATCAAGTCACTGTTTCTTTTATTTATTTGGCTTTTTTTAAGTTGATCAATGCGCAGACCAAAAAGGAAACATCGCTGCCGCCACATCATATATATTTATAGTATATTTACAGGATATGTACTTTAATACACTGTGAAATTATGATATATTTATATTTATAGACACATAATGCTATATATTTAATCCATAATACATGCAATAGCTTATTATATATATATATTGATATACAGATCCAAATACCATATGAAAGGTTAATGGTTAGAGAGAGAAACAAAGGCTGATGGTTGAGTTTAGAGAGAGTAACAATGGTATTAATCTGGGTCCTTTTGGATTGTCCAGTAATCAAATCTCTTTTCCTTGATATGAAGTCAATGATGAATCAGTAGAAGACCGTGGTGGAGTTGGGGCTAGGGATTGGTGATGGGGTATTCTGTAGAGGAATGGCAGTGTTGATGGCATTGGTGGGGGTAGCAAGAGAGAGTAAGGGAGGAGGTGGTGGAAGGATGGAGGTGGTGCAGGCATGAGAGGGAGAGAGTAAAGGTTGATGGTTTATATTTAATTTGTTTATGGGTATTATCAATTATAAAAAATAACTAAAGGGTTAATTGTCATTTTAGCATACCTAAGGGTACGATCTGATGGCTCTAATGGCCCCCCAGGGCCCCACCCGGGGGGGAGGGGAAGAAGGACTGTAATTTGGGCCTAACCTCATGGGAGGTCGATCACATTTTTCATCAAACTTTAATCTACGGGTTTAAAACTTGAATCCCACGGGAGGTCAGGGTAATTTACCCTTACAAATCCCATACCAGTATGTGACTTGTCTATCGGTCTGCCCTTGATAAACGGGGACCATAACCGAAATACCATTGAGTAGTTTTGATAGACGACTACAAAAGACTCAAGAACAAGACTAAAAACAAAGAATTCGATTGAGGAACTTCTTAAATAAGTCTTCAACTTGAGAAGCCTCTTTACCATGGTTTTCTTAAAGCATTTTATTAGAATGTGCTTGCCTTACAAGAAGTTAAATAAAACATGCCAATACTCATCAGTCATCCCAATGAAGTTTGTCCGAACCATTTGGGGCCTGCCATACAGACCATGTTTTGTCAATCTAGGACCATGCTTTCTATTCTCAATATCTCTTTCTTACTACCTCAACCTACATCCTTTTTGGTCCTCCCTCTGTGTTGTAGCAAATGAACTCCCTAATGATCCAACTAAATTATATGACTTGTGATGTCATTGAACATTTCAATTTCTAGACTGGAAGGCGTGACAATGACTTCCCGATCCCAATTTAACAATTCCCTTGCAATATTCTAAATGGAGACAATATACCATTAAAAAAAATAAGTCCTTTGATCCTGACGCAGAAAATATGGTATGTTGGTAAGTTAAAGTTAGCTTTAATAATGCATGCCTGTCACATTAGAAAATTTCTCTCACCCTAACTGTCATTAAAGTACCATCATTCCCTTATTTTGCCCATGATAATGTACATCTATTTACTTGTAACACCCTTTTTTACCCAAAAAAATTCAGAATCAGTCTCTTTAGACTCTTCTCGTATCTCCTTCTGTTAATATAGATTCTGAATTTCTTTATCAATTGCCATTTGCCACATACATCCCTCTTCCTTCTGTTCCGGGACACAGCCTGGTTTGATGCGTTAAAACTTCAAACTAGCAGCTGCATAGTCGATTTCAATTTACATTTATTGGACCAACTCACCCAGGTTCACAGCCTCGAAATGTGGCAATTGTGGAATGGCTAAAGATTTTTTAACCGTCGGCCAAATTTAATTTCAAAATAAGAATCTGCTACAGGCTTGCAGCCAACTTATTTCACCCACCAAAAAGAAAAGAAAAGAAAATTTTAAATGAATTTTGCATCTATTAACTTCACTGTTCCAAAGTTAGAATGAGAACATGAAAAAAAGAAAAATAACGATTAGTTACCTCCAAAAGATATGTTATTTCAAATCCTGTCAAATCATCCAGGAAGAAAAACCTGTGAAAACAACAATTGAACAAACACACATAAACAAGTTGGGTTTCAACAAGTAATCTATCATTAAGATAAATATGACAATAATAATTCTATAGGATGGTGGTGAAATACCACTAATTATTGTACAAAGCCAATGTTACTTACAATGTCAGAGCAACAACAGCAGCGGGGACATTCAGCAAGAACATCTTGAAATAGTCAACAGATAGGTCACTGTAGACCTACAGGAAGACATTTAAATCAGTACAACAAAATCCAAGCTCATCTTCTAGCCTTTACACTAGCACACCCCCCAAAAAATGTCCTCAAAGTCTGACAGGAAGGAAGACAACTTTAAAAACAATTGATGCTAGCACTATAGGGACATCAATTATTTCACAATAAAAAAAAAAAAAGAACTTCTCAAAAATCAAAGAGTAACCATACCCTTAATTTGAAAATCTGAAAAACGAGTGCCGAGGTAATAAATATTTGCAGACAAGCCAGGGAACTAAAAATAACACTTTAGTCTTGTACTTAATAGGTTCATCAGATGGAGAAGAAAATTCTATTGAATTTGACTGTAACATTCAGTAAAAAATAATTTACATCATAATTGGTGTATGCTGCACAGAAACTTTATAATTCACAATATCTACTTCATAGATACCGACTAAAGTTGAAAACTTAAGATACCAACGTTAGATGAAAATGCAATATATCTCCAAAAAGCTAAAACTGAATTGATATGATGTAAAATGCACATGTAAGTCCTAAGCATAGCCCTCTTAGTGATCGATATATAACGTGAGTCAGGTGTCATGCATCCATGCTATGTATTAAACACACATCTTAGTAGCATGCTCATAACGACCCTTCTTTTCCTTCCTAGAGGTAAAATTTGCATGGAATACAATTTGTGGAGTCCATTGGACAAGGGAAAAAAATTATAACATACCTATGGAGAGAGAGACAGAGAGAGTTTATTATATCAGTGTCTATATAATGTAACAAGTATACAATTGTAGTAGCAATCACTACCTATAAATTACTTTTAGAACCAGTTTTCCTAGTTGATTTCAGTGACAGACAATTATGAGAAAATACGGGTAGTCGTGATAATTAAAAATAATAATAATAATAATATCAAATTTGTGCATTTGATAAAAGCACACATAAAAAAACAAAGAAAAGAGAGAAGGTAGAAGTAATTTAGTAAAGGAACACACCTTTCTACTACGGAGGCTGCATCGAGGGCCTTCAACCACAATATCACTCCCATCCATCTAGAAAATAATTATGGATGTTAAAAACTCGCAAGTAAATAGAATCAGAAGCACAGGCAGGAAGAAACAAGTATAAACAGTGGCATAAGCTTGTTTGATACTAGTAACAAGAAACTAGAAAATTACAAGATCAAACATGATTAAAATATGACATAAATGCTAAGTACAACTACAGATATAACATGCATGAACATGAACATAATATTACTCTCCTCACAACCGATATAGGAATTCCATAAATTTCTTTGGCAAAAAAATTTATGTTTCAATGCAAGTGTTTCACATGTTATTTTGTTATAATGAATAGACCAAGATGGGATGTAGAAGACTGATTATCTAAGACAAAGGCATTAACTGACACGTGTACCTGTTGTAAATGCACGTGTACTCATGAGCATATACAAGCAATGAAGGGAATATGCAGACATTTAATGGAGTAATAAAATTTATAGTTGCTAGCAGAGAAAGCAGAACCTGACCCCAGAACATGGTGTTGAAATTTAAACTTACTAACAAACTGGCACCTTCAAGCAATACTAATATTTGATAAGTAGCATCTATAGATTGACCTGCATGTATATGTTCCATTTACTGGGTCATCATCCATTAATCAGAAAGTAACTTATAGAACTTTCCCACCTCCTCAAACTTTGGTCTATTGCTAGCCACCAGCCTATGTACATTTCAGCCAATTATTCACTTTACATTTCAACAAATTGTCCACTTAAAATGTAGAATTGAAAAAGCAACCACCTTATAATTCTGCAATTGTTGTCTTTTACACACACACACACAATTGCATTGGAATAAAGTTTCTGCCAACATCATAGTAAGAAATTGTTTCCCCCTTACTTACGCAGAAATAAATTATTAATATAGCATTGTACCATGGCATATTTAAGCGTCTTAAATCAATTGGCTATCAGCTACTGAATACAATAAAACAAATCTAAAGGCACTGACAATAACATCAAATTGTTTATTCAAAAAGTGAGAAATCTCCGGAAAATGTACATACAGTGGTAAATTTTTGAGAATTATTACCCTATCTCCATACATGGCACGTAAACCCAAGCACTCAAAGACTCGACTTCAAAAGATCTATTCATTTGCTCAAACAGCCTGACACACACACACACACACTCTCTCTCTCTCTCTCTCACACACACACACACACACACACACCACTCTTTAGTTTCTAAATAGGAAGTGCAATCAAGCTTCTCTAGAAACTAAACCCAGTTAGCTAAACAAGATTCATTAAACTAATGAACTAATAGGTACTTCGACTAAAAAGAAGCCTAGAAAGAGTCAACCCCAACTAGACAGCCTCAGGCCAAAAACTGAAGTGATTAGAAATATTTTAATAGAACTAAAATAAGCCAACATTACAATGAGATTCGTTTTGTCCCTTCTCTACACACAAATAAATTTTTGATGGCATAGCAACATGGAACTTTAAGTCCAAAATTAATAGGTGATTACCTACCAGATAAAAATCAAAGGCACTGATAAAATCAATTTGATTCACAAAGAAAGAAATCCTTTGGCTATGTACAACACCATGGAGAAATTTATAAAATTATCATCTGAACATCATAATTAGTCTGCTAAAAGAAAATAGGTAGAGAAAACAGTGCTTGGGTTATTTTCAATGTGTTGCTACATTACAATAATGTCCAGAATACTATATATCCTCTCTAATTTTGAAAGTAATGGTCATTCTAAGTTAAACTAGATGCATATTGTTCATCTAAGTTGTGTACATGATACCAATAATGCAAACCTTTAGTTGAATCTTCAGTTGGTCATAATCTTCATCACTCATTATGGGTTTCCCAGCCACATAAGCCATTGAAGCTTCCAGAAACTTCTGTTCATCCGAGCCTGCATTGTGAATGAACCAAGAGAGTAATGCAATGGACATCTTAGATATTCACTAAACGATTAAAGGTCAACATCATAACATAGAAATGGAGGCTCTATATAAGACACAAGTCTGTACTTAGCATGACCACACTGCTTCCTTCCCACATTAGTTCCTCCTTGAGTAGGTCAAATTCCTCATTTGACATGATAGCCTTTCCTTCATAGTAGAAAGACTGTAGCAAAACCAGAAACAAATTATATATCTCTCTCGTATAGAAAAGAAGAAAAGCAGATGCATACAGCATCAGAAACAGTATTGGTAAAATGGAAATAAAGTACTTTATCTGCAAACAAATGACGTGGCAGAAGTATGCAATCAACTGATATAGACCTTTAATCTGACAAAAATCTAAAGACTAATATATATGGATCAAAAAGGAAATGAGGAAAAAGAAATGAAAAGTATCTATTTAAGTGCATACTTGAAGCGCTTGAAGAAATTCTTGCTCAAGCTCTCCCAATGACTTCTTCTCTTTCTTGTCTAAGTTACAGTATGGCAAGACATTACTGTCAACAACGTCATCTTTTTGGACCTGATCTGAAAGCAGAAGTGGAGTTAATGAACGGAATTTCAAAATAAACAGTGCTGAAAAATGTCAATTATAACATTCAATGGTTGCAGCAATTCCAGTAATCCATAATTTTACCTTTAAGAGTGTCTCGTTTCTATTATATACTTTCTTTCTCCTGGTGGGGGACTGACTAGATTGTTCCGACTATATAGAATTAACAACACAATCTGTTTCAGCTCACTATTCCACTTGAGATACGAATTCAGTGATGTATCAAAATGTGTTCTCACTTCACCCACTTTAATATTTAGCCTTTCTGTGGTCTTTATCATGCTGTGACACAGCTACAGTTGTTGTAAACATGATCAAATCATCTCATGAATTCTTTAATGTAGTTTCTCTTGGTAATAATTTTCAGTCCATTTTATATTTTTTTGCAATTCCCATTTGATTGCATTTTCCATTTTAGTACAGGCACTGACATGTGAGTTGTATATCAGGCATTTATGCTATACTAATTAAGTATTGAGCATGAACACCTTATTTGGGCACAGCCTCACTTAACTTGTCATGAAACTAGCACATGAAAGCATATGTAAAAAGTACAACCCCTGTTGCACTTGAGTTGTCACATGACTCACACATGAACATTTGGAATAAAATTAAGAGTGAGGATAATTGTGCTATGGCAACAAGGGGTGAAGTTGGGGGTTATAAGTGTTGTACTCTCCCAGTTTCCCTTTATAAAATGTCTAGATGTTCCAAAATAAGCATCATAAGAATTTAAGAAAACTGAGCCTAGTTGCCTCATGTCCTCTTGTTCTTTTTTCCTTCCTCAGCTTGTCCCTATTCTATCATTTTCCTATCTATCCATTTTCCCCCTCATCTCTCCTCTTTAGTGGCACTTGCAGGATATTGCAGGTTTGCAACCACATGTATCATGTAGGTTGGAGAATTTATCGTGATCAAGGGCTTGAAAAACCACTATAGATGCACCATCCAAGCAACTTTGTCTTTATTCTCCTTCATTCACTCATCTAAATAAATCTTCAAATCATTTTTATTCTTTCATTTCCTTCTACTTACAATTCCACCATCATTCTTCCATGGGTTTGTAGCTGCTTGGCCGACCTTAAATAAATAATGTTTAACTCCTTAATTTTATCCCCTAATGAGAGAAGACTTAGTACATACAGTTGTACGCCATATTGCCTTAAGTTATCACGTCATTTTCATATTATTTCCAATTTAGGTGATGGAGATCTTAATAAGCCACTTGGTCCACATATTTATTATAATCATAGGCGTAGAGTAGGATTTTATTTTTGGTAGTAGAGTTTGATTAGGGATTTTGGGTTATATTTTAATGCTTGTGACATTGAGTAGACACTTTTGAAAATTATTGACTATCGATTACAGAGATCAACCAGCAATTTTCTTCCCTCTATCAGAAGTTGTTCAGATTTTCTTCCCTCTATCAGAAGTTGTTCAGATACAGATAACACGTGGCGTATTGACCCAAACTTTTTGGAGTATTAACTGTAGTATCACAAGCTTTACACTCCATAGGAGAGTTCTTTTCAGGTAGGGAGAATCGATGGAGATCTTGATGAGCCACATTGTCTGCATACTTATTATAGGCGCAGGCGTAGAAGATGATTTTGGGATTTGTTATATATTATATATTTCTTAGTTCTTTAGGTTTTATTTTTGGTCGTAGAGTTTGATTAGGGTTTTATTTTGATGCTTATGTATATGCAATTTGTGACATTGAGTAGACACTTTTGATAATTATTGACCATCAATTACAAAGATTATTGAGAGATTTTCCTCCCTCAATTTCTTCTTCTTCTTCTCCTTATTTTCTCTCTCATTCTGCATCATCGGGTCTATAAAATGATTGTTGTCACGTTGAGGATTTTATGAACAATTTCTTACTTGCTTATCAGGTATCTTATCCTAAAACAAGGCATGATGCCACATGACTGGAGGAAAAGTACAACAATACCAATTTACTAAAATAAAGGGATATACAAATTTGTGGCAATTGTAGAGAAATTAAATTAACGTGTCACACAACGAAACTATGGGAAGGGTAATAAAACAAAGGCTAGGAAAGGAATCCAAGGTATCCGATAGCCAATTTGGATTCATGCCGGATACATCCACAATGGAAGCTATATATATACTTAGACAATTAGTTAAAAAAAGGTAGAAGTAAGCAACAAAACTTATATACGGTCTTTATAGACTTAGAAAAAACGTATGATAGAGTCCCAAGAGATATAATTTGGTGGGCTCTACAATGGGAAAAACTTCCCTCACAAATCATAAAAAGTATCCAAGATATGTACATGAACAGAAAGACTAAAGTCCGTACCACATGTGGTGAAACTTGTGAGTTCCCCACAAATGTAGGATTGCACCAAGGATCGGTGCTAAGCCCATATCTATTTGCTGAAATCTTAGACGAAATAACAAAAGAGTTCCAAAACGAGGTGTGCATGATGTTTGCAGATGATATAGTGCTCTTAGACACTTCTAAAAAGAACCTATCAACAAAACTTGAATGTGGAGAAATGTGTTGGAATTGAAAGGATTGAAAATTAGACCAACTAAAACCAAGTATAAGAAGTGAAAATTTAATAAATAATGGTCATCGACAATATAATGTTAACACTTCAAAACCATAAAATTACTCAAAACAACCATTTTCGATATCTAAGATTGATAATACAAAAGGAAGCTGAGATGGATAGAGATATAAATAGTAGAATTGGAGCAGATTGGACCGAGTGGAGAGAAGCTAGTGGAATTTTATATGATAAAAGAATAACACATAGAATCAAAGGAAAATTTTATACGACTGTTATTAGACCAACTATGTTGTATGGAGCTGAGTGCTGGGCCCTAAAAAAAGAAACAAGAGCAACGCCTTCATGTAGCGAAATGAGAATACTAAGATGGATGGGTGGAGGGACTAATGAGAGTGTGAGACAAATTAGGGGCGGCTCCCATTAGTGAGAAAATTAGAGAGAGTAGACTTAGATGGTTTGGACTTTGGACACCTACATCAAAGACCTAGAGACGCATCTGTCAAATGAGGAACACTAGTTGTAATAGAAGGTAAGAGATGGAAAGGGTGACTAAAAATACATGGGATGAGGTTATTGAAAATGAATTTTAAAAGCTAAATATAGTAGGCAAAATGGAATATAATAGGAAGGATTGGAGAAAGAGAATTCATGTGGCCGACCCCATTCATATGGGATTAAGGCACGGATGATGATGATGATGATGATTCAATGGCTACTTACTCTACTAAACAATATAGGTCTGATTGGTATAAGGTCCTCACTTCTTAGACAAGGCATTACTACCATAGACCAATCCTAGGATGCATCTCTCTTTTTTATCAACCGAGTTTAGATACCCTAGCTTCTAATATGGAGAATAAGTCATTGTGAATCTATAATACACCATAACCAAAAACACTCAAAAGACAAAGAGAGATAGAGAGAGTATAACCATAATGGACTGTTAGCCCACTCAATGTATACAAAATATATTCAAAACGAGTCAGTTACATTCTCAATAGCATTGTAATTACCTGGTAATTTCTTGGCACTTTAGAATTCAATAAATAAATTCCATTCTAATTTATCTAGCAATGACTCCATAGCTGCAGAATGAACTTATTCAACTCCATCAGGCAATCCAAAACAACCATAATCTAGATAACAAGGTACCTGATTTACCATACAATCATCCTAACCGTCTTTAGAAACAATAAATCCATAAACTTTAGGTCATGCAAATAATACTAATATTTTATCAACCGTAACAAACCCACTCCTCCATACTAGATTCCATGACAGTAATATACCAGCTTAGGCCGAATGCAAATAATACTCGGTATATTACAACTGTAGTCATGTGAAATATAACATTCGGACATTATTGAGCAACATTATCCAATTCCACTTGAAAAATCAAATATATACTACTAGATATTATAATATATATATAGACTTAAGACATAAAAACCTAACCTGGCTGGTCAGTGGTGGCTTTAGGTGAAAGTCTGAAGAATCTGTGTCGAAGCAATAACTGACGGCCTATGAAATTAATAGACTGAACCCTCGATGATGATGAAGGAGAAGAGAGAGAAACAACGGGTTTGCGAGAAGGGGCAGTGAAGAAACGAGGGGGGTTTGTCAGAGCAAACCCTAATTTGGTGGCCATTCGTGGCCGTCGTGGTGGTGGTGGAAGTGGAAGTGGAAGTGGAAGTGGAAGTGAAAAGGGTTCTGAATATCTGGGTAACGTGGTGGGTGGTTCATTGTGACTTTGTGAGAGAGTAGATGATTTTCTGGGGAAGACACAAGAGATAAGGCAACTCCACAATGTGTGGAGGGAAATGAAGACTCTTGTCCTCCTCTTCTGTCACGATGAATTGTTTGCTCATAAAAAGATGCCAACTCAGCATCTTAATCTAAGACTGGTGACACGTGGAGGGATGGTGTAACCCACGTGGATGCATGGGTTTGTCAACATTATGGGTCCATCGTTTTACAGTATCTTCCTTTTACTTATGGACTGATGGTGACTTTGGTGGACTGGATTAGTTGATTTGTTTTGTGAGCCTTGGATTGAGTTGGGCTAGGCTTTATGCTTCATCATCGCATGATTCACCTGGACCATTGTCTTTTTACTCTTTTATCCATGAACTTTTTACTTTTTTCCCTTGGTAAGGTTCTGGAAAGTGCTAATTTGTGAGAATTAAGAAATTTTGTGAAAAATGTCGAAAACCATTATGCTTTATATGGTCCATATTAAAAAAACTCTAAACTTATTTACTAGTGGCAACCAATAATCGAGTGATCTCTTCTTGTGATAGCATAACTCTAAAGAGTTTGAACTCAATAGTCTTGAATTAACAAAAATCTTAGTTCAACCATTTTGTGACTATTCTTAGAGTCAATACACAAGCATATATATATATATATACATAGATATATATAATTACAGGTTGGATTTGATTTGTTCCGATTCTAGTGAACCCCAAACTCAAACCAAATCCTAAGTTAATGTTTATTTTTGAAATTGGAATGCGACCAAACCAAAACAAAACTAGGCTATACGGTCCAATTCAGTTATGACCGGTTCACTGCACCCCTATACCAAATCAATGGTAGGAGAAATTACTAAACGTACGTTATTACTTTTGATGCAGGAAATTCTAGAAATGGCCGTCATCAACGTAATTCTCATTTTGCCATGGGCTGGGCCGATGTCAATTGCTAGAGGCTTTGTTGGGCCAAAGTTGGGCTTATCTTTTTTTATTACACATGTAATTTGCTTTGGCTTCTTACTGGCCTCGTCGTAAATATGAGTATATATAACTTGAATTATTGTATATATAAAATTGTTTAACCTTTAGGAAAAGTAAAATAAAAAAGTTTCAAGAAATGGAATATGGTGAAATGATCGATGGTCAGGTGTCCCATTTTCTTTGTAATAATGGGTGTTCTTTTTTTATTTCTTTCGAAAGCTATGCAAAAATGGGTGTTCCGTAGTGGACTTTGGATTTAACCTTTTAAATTAGGACAGAGAGTTGTTCAGTCTCTACTATATTGAAAACAATGGTCTTGCACACAACCTTTCTAGGTAGCTTTCCCTAGTTTCTCAAGTATACCTAACACTCAAACTAAACCTACTTCCATAGTCAATTAAGTAATCTAACCATTTATTTACCAAAAAAAAAATATATAGAAAAAAAAAAAAGTAATCTTAACATTTTAGCATCAAAGATTGGCCTCATAATATCGCTCTTGAACTAATTATTTAGTAAACTGTTCAACTTTTCAAGCAGGCTTGTCCGAACTCCTCCTCCCTCTAACTCGTAAGGATAATATAAAAAGCAAATAATATGTACACTTACAATTTTGAGGTTTATTTTTTGGCTTGATATATGCTAGATAGTAGGTAGTAAAATTTTCTGGAAGCTTTTGGCCATTAAAGTCGTTGATTGACTGACTTTTTTTAATTGGCTACATTCCAAATCCTAAAACCCTTATTTAATTGCTTGAAATGAATGTTATGGAAACATGTGAAAAAACGTTACTCTCATCACGATTTTTTTGTTGATTCAGGGAAACCAAACATTTAATTAAATTTTTTTAGTACAATGTCATACGACTTACAAAGTGGAAAAAAGTTACTATTTTATTATTATTTGTTTTTTTTTGCAAGTCTTTACTACTTTTGACTTTTGAGTAAAAGATCGATAAATGATCTGATGGTAGTGATTTAAATTGCTATTGTTTATCACATTTTATGTTGTGTGGTACTTCTGTAAAAATAAAATAATAATAATAATAATAAATTATCATAAACAATATTATACCTTACCCCCACAAAATATATATATATAATAATAATAATAATAAATTATCATAAACAATATTATACCTTACCCCCACAAAATATATATATATATATATATATATATATATATATATATATATAATATTAATATAGGACAACAATTAATTATTAACTAACGACTCACATACATATTATCCACTTTGAGAGGTAGAAGAGATACCACTGAATTACCAGACCCTTGATATTTTAGGGACATGAGTAGCACATATTATATATAGAAATTAATAAGCACAAACAATATAGGGTGAGTCAACAAAAAATAAAATAATATTTAAATTTGCCAAAAATGTAAAATTAACTTAAAATATACTAGTATTGAATTTGCTTATTCATTAAAAGAGTTTCGTTATAAAAAAAAAAATTGAAGTTAAAGTTGATTCAAAATATGGAAATTTTTATAAACAACATCAAGTCGAATGAAAGGGTTAGCTATCACGTGCATGGTTGGTGGCTAATTGGTAGATGGTTTTCAAAAGACTGTTCTAGGGTGGTTACTATACAACCAACACACACAATGACACACACACACACACACATTAACATTCTCAAGCCTTAAATGAAACCTATGGTTCTAAATTGTGGCTGTAATTTTCCCCCGTCACTCGATCTTATGCGACGGTTAGGGTTCCTCGTGTTTCAATCCTCCAGTCAACCCACCTTCCATGCATCTTCAATCTTCATCATCTCTACGACTCTTAATCCTATCTTTTTGAGTCTGGTAAAGAGCTCAACACGTGAGGAACAGATACAACTCTCTCTCTTTCTCTATGTTGGTAGCTCTACCCCATACATTTTTCTAGAGCAATTTGAATGCCGTCAACTAATTTTTTATTCGTTTTGCACACAATTTAGTTGAAGTACGGTTCTATAAAAGCTCACAAAGATTGGCAATACAAGTAACATATTGCTTCAAAGGTCTGCATCGTTAGTGATCATATATATTTTCACACACAAACACACACACACAGTGTTGTAAGTTGTAACACATTGTTGCAATGGTGCAAGTGGCTCCAAGAGTCGAAAGCTTGTCAAGCAGTGGGATCCAGTCAATCCCAAAAGAATATGTGAGGCCCCAGGAAGAGCTAATGAGCATCGGCAACGTGTTCGAGGAGGAGAAGAGGGATGAAGGGCCTCAGGTGCCCACAATTGACCTCAAGGACATCGATGCACCGGACAAGGAGGTCCGGGAGAGGTGTTTCGAGGAGTTGAAGAAGGCGGCAACGGATTGGGGTGTGATGCACCTTGTCAACCATGGAATTTCCCAGGATCTTTTGGAACGCGTCAAGGCTGCCGGAGATGCCTTCTTCGAGCAGCCGATGGAGGAGAAAGAGAAGTATGCTAATGACCAGGCCTCTGGGAAGATACAAGGGTATGGAAGCAAGCTAGCCAACAATGCTAGTGGGCAGCTTGAGTGGGAGGATTATTTCTTCCACCTTATCTTCCCAGAGGACAAGAGGGACATGTCCACTTGGCCAAAGACACCAAGCGATTACATGTAAGTTCTTCATCCTAAGCGATTACATATTTGATTGAATCTGCTTTCATTAAAATATATTAGGAATATATGCTTGTTTGCATTATTTAATCGAGTTAAGGAACACATGCAGAGACTTAAGAAAGATTGTATTTTGGGATTTAGAAATTATTTTCTCTTGTCGGAAAAAATTTCTAACGATGATATGATTTGAATATATTTTTCAAATGTTTAGAGATTATATATTTCCAAACCTTGATTTGAAACTTTGAGAGTTAAGATCCAAAACTATAAGTAGTCGGACAAAGGTAGACCGGTGTTATATACATATTTTAGCACACAGACGACCCTATTAAGGGACCAATCGCCCCCATTAAATTTTTTTTTTTTTTTTTTACAAAATTATCTATAATTTTTGTTAAAATTTTAAAAATGCCCCTATTCAATTTTTGGTAATACCTCACTATATATTTTGTTCTTCAAGTCCACCCTTCTCGTACAATTTCTCGGGTCTGTCACCAATAACATCATAACACATACATATATATATAGATATATATGTGGATACTGCTTAGCTACTCATCGGTGAGTAGCTTTACCCTACTCACTCCTTGTGTGTTTCAATAATAATTTACCACATCAGTTTTAATAAAAATATAATCCACGTTTATTCAATGGTTGATCCGAAAAAATCACGAAGATGTGAATTATTTTATTATTAAAACTGATGTGGTATATATATATATATATATATATATATATATATATATATATATATATATATATCATGAACTAATTGTCATGAAATAGGGGTGATTATAATTATATGATTAACTTTTTGCAATGGATGAAGACCTGCCACAAGTGAGTATGCCAAGCAACTAAGAGGCCTAGCAACCAAGATTCTCTCAGTGCTATCTCTTGGCCTAGGGTTGGAAAAAGGGAGGCTAGAGGAGGAAGTTGGTGGCATGGAAGAGCTCCTTCTTCAAATGAAGATCAACTACTACCCCAAGTGTCCTCAGCCAGAACTGGCCCTAGGTGTTGAAGCCCACACTGATGTGAGTGCACTCACTTTCATACTCCACAACATGGTCCCTGGTCTCCAACTGTTCTATGATAACAAGTGGGTCACAGCCAAATGTGTCCCTAACTCAATCATAATGCACATTGGAGACACTATTGAGATCCTGAGCAATCGCAAGTACAAGAGCATTCTTCACAGGGGACTTGTCAACAAGGAAAAGGTTAGGATTTCGTGGGCCGTTTTCTGTGAGCCACCCAAGGAGAAGATCGTCCTCAAGCCCCTGCCGGAGACCGTGTCCGAGACTGAGCCGCCTCTCTTCCCGCCTCGCACCTTTGCCCAGCATATCCAGCACAAGCTGTTCAGGAAGACTCATGACTCCCATGATACTAAATGAGTACTGCTTTGGTTACCTTTAATATTATGCCATTACTTTTATGTTAGGACAGTGATCTTTATTGTTTGATTGCATGTTTGAAGCGTTAATCTGGGCAGGAACTACACCATTGTATTTGTCCTCTTTGTCTAATACGTTTGAAGTTTTCTCCAATTGTAATCATGGTGATTTTGCCTGTGAAAATCAACAAATATATGTGTGTTAAATATTTATAATGTGTGGCAGAGGATTTAAGGTTCTTGTTCTTCTCACACTTCCTCAGCAATCAAATGAAGGCCAAGAAAAAAATATTTGACGGTGCAATAAGAAAACTTAAACATGGGAAAACAAATAGAAAATCAACATCAACTTTGGTAACACAAATTATTTCAGGAATTGCTTGATAAAGAAAATGTCCCAACATAAAAGTAAGCAGGAATGGGGAAAAAAATGAAAAATAAAATCGGAAGAACAATGTAAAGGGACGACTTGGAAATGGTCTACCAATATAACATTATGGCATTTCAATCTGGCATGTTCTTCTAAAACTTGTGTAGCTGCATTTGAAGCCAATACCTCTTTATTATCTGATATTGTCAAAGCCACCAGAAAACAAATGAAAATCAGCTAGCAGACTTCTTGTTCCAGTTCATCATTTCAAAGTCTTCTGCCTCACTAGCTCAATTTGTGTTGTTAGTACTACAACACCGAAGCAAGCTTGAACAGCACCATCTAAAAGACCTGCACAAAGACATCAGCTCCATTGACTAGGAACTAGCTACTTTAAAAATATTTTGATGTTTAACGGATGATGAACTTCATTATGAAGACACGCTGTCTCGGAAATTATGTCAAAAGAACAGATAACCCCCTCATTCAAGTTTGATCCGCAACAGCAAAAGTTTGTTTGATAGAGTGCCTACAAGCTTGCGATGCTCATCTCTAGCAAAGCATCACGTGGAGATAGAACAATCCAATGCAACATAGCTCTTTCAGTAAGTCATCATTCTCAAACATCCGGACCTACATCTGCAATCTCGCATCGCTCCAAACACCATAACACCAGTCTTTCCAATTGCCGTCACGACATTCCTGCTAACTGTTTGGTGGTTTTTGTTTGTCAATGCACAACAAATACTGAGAATATCAATATTAGCTTCAAGGTCTCAGCGATTTGCATAATAATAGTAGAATGGTAGATGTTGTTTCTTCTTCCCTTTCCCTGAGAGGTAGGCAATGATGCAGCCAAAGGCCTTGAACCTTTCTTCAACCTAAGAACCAATATAGTACAATCAAAACCAACTAAACCAAAGCTAATTAATATCAAGCCATAACAGAACCAACAAAATTTAAAAGCAGATTACACATCAATAATTGGCATGCACGAGTTCCTTCAGCCGATGGCAGAATAAGGTTAATGTTCCAATTTGAAAATGTAACAAGTATAAAATAAAAACTGACAATTCCAATCTATCAGCGAGAATGTTGGGAATGGTCTATGAACTTGATATAGTCGAATTTAACTCCAAGGCATTGTTCTAATAGTTGTGCATAACTGCAATTAAATAGCCCAAGCCCCTATATTTGTGTTATTGCCAAAGTCACAAAAAACAATGACAAGTCCAACTAGCCTCGCAGACACTATTCCTTATTTTCAGTTTTATATCCATCTCATTTTTTCTGAATCTTACACCATCAAAAGGAGCAAACAGGGCATTTGCAATAACTGCCCAAAAGTATCAGCTTCTTTGATTTAACAATTATTTCTTTTTTGAATTTTCTTTTGGTATCACTTGCTGAGAGAGTAAACATCGATAGTTTGATTGGTTCAATATTTTAATAATAACTTTCTATTTTTTAAGATTGAAAATCTGAAAACTCTAACATTTCTCTAAGAACTTTTAGTTAAAAAATGTTTGTTCTCTTATCATATTAAACTTTTGCCATTATAGTAACCAATCACTACCTACAAAGAATGCTCCATTCTCTTTTTATCTCTATAATTATCAACCCAAATAATTACGCCCAACTTGTAATATATTCATTTGCCAATGCCAAGTCAACTTACCCCATCAAATGTCTGTTACTAAAGAACTTCACTTACCAAAGTTCTTGATTAATTGAAAGAACTATGCCAGCAGCAGTGGACTTGACACCATCCAAACTGGCAACTCCGATTGCATCTCTGGAAACTGTACGTATTACTTCCGTGGAGGAGAGACCCACGTTCGGCATCCATGATGACCTTTCATTCTCATTGCTATCACAGCATCCCTGTTAATCTGTCAATGCAAAACAAATAATAAAAATGTCACTATTAGCTGCAAGGTCTTGAGGATTTGCATGGTAAGGGAATGACATGTGACTTCTTCCTTGAGAGGTAGGCGATGCTGTGGCTAAAGGCCTTGCTCCTTTCTGCAATCTTGAAACCAATATATCCCATCACCACAAAATCATCTATCCTGTCATTGGAGTCCTAACGCATCAAGTTCTTGAAGAAACAGTAAACCAGAAAGGGTGAGGCTAATTGGGGCCTAACGGCCTAGTAATAAGCTTCTCTAAGCCCAGAGGAATGCTCATTCGCGACTAAGCTCCAATTCCTGTGGTGATTGTTGGCAGGACAACCAGCAGAATTGTTTCCTTAGCAATAAGTATGATGGACCTTGGAGGATAAGTTCTGGTTGTGTACCTTATAAGAATATAGAATTAGAATTAATGGTTAAAATTTGAAAAAATTAATAAGCAATATATTGAGAAGTATATTACAGCGGACTAGCTTGGACACTCAAATGGCAAAATTGAAGACGACTAACAAGGGAAGAAAATTACCATCAAAATTGAGGCTGTTTGATAACTTATTTGGCAGGTAAGTTCCCAAGGGTGTGAGAGCCTAGCTTCTTTATCATTATCCAAAAATAAAAAGAAACCAACAAGCATTACATATGTTCCTAATCCCTTCCAAATTGAATAAATTTACTACCAACAAAAACAACAAAACTAAAGCTAATTCAACATCAAGCTAACAAGCCAAGAATGGATAAAATAACCAAAAAATCATTCATTGGTATGCACGAGTTACTTCACGCAATAGCAGAATAAAGGTAATGTCCCAATACAAAAATGTAACAAGAAGAAGATGAAAACTGACAATTCCAATACGCTGGCAAGAGTATTCAAAGTGGTTTATGAACTGTAGTACAAGGAATTTAACTCCAACTGTTCTGAAATTTGTGCCAACTGCAATTATACCATGCTCCATGTTATGTAGCATTTCTGAGGTCACCAAACCAATGACAAATACAAATAGCTTCACAAACACGCGCGCGCACACAAACACGCGCATAAATGCATGAAGAGATATCATCCATTCTTATCATCTTGTATCCATCTCAATATATTCTAAATTTACACCATAAAAAGAAGCCAAAATCAGTGCCATTTGCAAGGACTGCACAAAGGAATAAACTTATTCGGTTTAACAATTGTGGGAGAAATATTTTGACATTACACAAGATCTTGACATCTACAAGTGAAGAATTCATTGATAGAATATAAAATAGTCAATGCCAATATGATGTCGAATCTTTATATGAATCCATTCTGTTAAAAAGAATGGATTCCCCTCATTCAAAGTCCAACTGCGATAGCAAAGGCTTATTTGAAAAGAAAGCCTCTAAGTTGCCTAAGAATACCTCTTGCAGCGCTGCAAAGGATTCTGGGGTTGCAACAGCTTTATGTGGAGACAAAACAACATTATCCAACGCGAATAACTCTTTTGGCACGTTAGGTTCATTCTCAAACACGTCGAGACCTGCACCTCCAATGTCACCTCACACCAAAAACTGCACCAATTCCTTCTCATCAAGAAGAGCCCCACGCCCAACATTAATAATGATACCTCTGAAATATTTAGGGATACCTCTATGCTCCACAGGTCTAAAGAAGCCACATTGTTCAGTTTTATTGGATAAAATTTCAAATAAAATCAACGATTGGTGTAATAGTATGCTTTCAGTAGCAGGGAAAACTGACTTGATCAAGACAGTTATCACTCCGACTTGTTTGTACTGGTGCAGTGTGTTTACATTGCCTATATCAGTGTCCTCAATCAGATTCAAAACTTGTGCAGGGACTTTATTTGGGGAAGCAGAGACACATTGAAGAAAATGCACCTCTTAAGTTGGGATGTTATGTGCAGACCTAAAGCTGAGGGAGGTTTAGGTATCCGAAAATTGATAGATGTGCAACAAGCAGCTCAATGTACATTGGCTTGGGATTTTATTCTTAGCAAAGATAGGATTTGGGTTCCATGGTTCAAAACAGATATTCTTCTCAATCTACTTACTGGAATGCAGTCCCCAAGATCTCTCATTCTCTCCTATGGAAAAATCTGATAAATGTAAGGGATCTTATGCATCTTAATATTAAATGTTCAATTGGAAATGGGCAAACCTTCAAGCTACTGTCTGATCCATGGTGTGAAGGTCATTCTTTACTTCAGAAATTTGGTCACCGTATTGTTAGAAGACTGGGTTTTGCTTGGGATTCCTCTTTGTCCAGCCTTATGGATAATGGAGGCTGGAATTTACATATTTTGCAGGACATCAATTTTCATCCTATCAGAGATTATATTCAAACACTGATTATTAATGACAGAGAAGATAAATATACTTGGGATGGAGGTTCATTCTCTTTTAAAAATGCTAGGAAGGGCTGTAGGGTTATGCATCCAGAGGTGTTATGGTACAAGATGTGTTGGGGTAAAGCCCAGCCTAGGTGGTCTGTTCACTGTGTTTTTCTGTTCCATAATAAGTTGCCAACAATGGTTAATCTCCCAAGGCGGAAGGTGCAGCTTGCTCCAAGGTGCTCTATTTGTTTACAGGAGAGTGATACAAGGAATCATTTATTTGTTGAATGCTCCTATGCTAGGAATTTTTGGAAGTGGATAGCAGATATCACGGGATGGAATGTTGATTTTTCTGAAATTTCTACATTTGAAGAACTTTGGAATTGGTTCTTTCAGCAATCAAGCAAAATGATACATACTGTAATGGTGGCTGGGCTATGGAGCATTTGGCAGGAGAGAAATAGAAGGCTTCATGGTCATCTATCTAAAACTTTTCAAGATATTGCTAGACAAATATTATTTGAAGTTTTAGATCTCTATAGTGTTTCAATTTCTGATCTTACTTAATTTGCAGATCATTGTTTGATCAGTTTCATTGTGTTTTTTTTAATGTTCTTATTTGATCATTTTAATCATTTCTGAGGGTATGCCCTCTGTGCGCCTGTAAATATTTTTTTCCTTTTTTGATACATTATGAAAAAAATAATAATGATACCTTCCTTCCCCAGTGCTGTCATGACATCCTTGTTAATTATGTGGCGGGTTTCTTCTGTCAACGCACAACAAATAATGAGAACATCACTGTTCACTGCAAGCTCATGGACATTTGCATAATAAGGCAATCGAGCATGCAGCTTCTTCTTCCTCGAGTTGTACGCAATACTGCAGCCAAAAGCCTCCATCCTTTTAGTAATCATAGAGCCAATACTTCCCAGCCCCACTATCCCAATTCTTTTACTCCCTACCTGCAATAAAATCCATGTCACAATATTGCAGTGGTATAATTCATTAAGTACAAAAACCAAATTGGAGAAACTTGCTATATTACTATTCCTAACATTGTTCCCTGGAGGGGGTCCCCTCCGGGGGTAGCAACATATTGCATCAGATATAGAAAAAAGTTTCATTTTCAGTATGTCGATACCATTTGAGGAGGATGAAGAATGAGTTTTCTAAACTTGATACTCTCAAGATTGCAGCATGTACCATATATGTAGAAGTAGTGTAAGATGCCGATGGCAAAGACATGGGGAGAAGTTACTTGCAACTATTTCTTGTCATAGCATAACATAACTAGTCCACATACTTGGGAAAGGACTACATGCTACAGACTCCAACCCCTCTTATAATCCGTACCTTGAAACCATCTATAGACTTGTTTCTTGATTCCAAAATACTTTTCTAGATACCGATACCTAAGAAGGCCAAGAACAATAAGTGTTTCAAAAATAACAATAATATTGATATAACAAAACAAAATTCAACCCAAATAACAATAATCTTGGTTAAATGTTGAAATCAATATATTGACCAATCACTACCTACAAAGAATGCCACATTCTCTTTTTATCTCTATAATTATCAACCCAAATAATTACGCCCAAAAATAGGAAAAATACCAATGCATCCTTGAAGATGCAAACATGTAATTTATACATTCGCCAAGTCAACTTACCCCATCAAATGTCTGTTACTAAAGAACTTCACTTACCAAAGTTCTTGATTAATTGAAAGAACTATGCCAGCAGCAGTGGACTTAACACCATCCAAACTGGCAACTCCGATTGCATCCCTGCAAACTGTTCGTATTACTTCCATGGAGGAGAGACCCACGTTCGGCATCCATGATGACCTTTCATTCTCATTGCTATCACAGCATCCCTGTTAATCTGTCAATGCAAAACAAATAATAAAAATGTCACTATTAGCTGCAAGGTCTCGAGGATTTGCATGGTAAGGGAATGGCATATGTGGCTTCTTCCTTGAGAGGTAGGCGATGCTGTGGCCAAAGGCCTTGCTCCTTTCTGCAATCTTGAAACCAATATATCCCATCACCACAATATCATCTATCCTGTCATTGAATTGGAGTCCTAATGCATCAAGTTCTTGAAGAAACAGTAAACCAGAAAGGGTGAGGCTAACTGGGGCCGTAAGCTTCTCTAAGCCCAGAGGAATGCTCATTCGCGACTAAGCTCCAATTCCTGTGGTGATTGTTGGCAGGACAACCAGCAGAATTGTTTCCTTGGCAATAAGTACGATGGACCTTGGAGGATAAGTTCTGGTCGTGTACCTTATAAGAATATAGAATTACAATTAATGATTAAAATTTGAAAAAATCAATAAGCAATATATTGAGAAGTATATTACAGCGGACTAGCTTGGAAACTCAAATGGCAAAATTGAAGACGATTAACAAGGGAAGAAAATTACCATCAAAATTGAGGCTGTTTGATAACTTATTTGGCAGGTAAGTTCCCAAGGGTGTGAGAGTAGCTTCTTTATCGTTAGCCAAAAATAAAAAGAAACCAACAAGCATTACATATGTTCCTAATCCCTTCCAAATTGAATAAATTTACTACCAACAAAAACCAACCAAACTAGAGCTAATTCAACATCAAGCTATAACAAGCCAACAACGGATAAAATAACCAAAAAATCATTCATTGGTATGCACGAGTTACTTCACGCAATAGCAGAATAAAGATAATGTCCCAATACAAAAATGTAACAAGAAGAAGATGAAAACTGACAATTCCAATACGCTGGCAAGAGTATTCAAAGTGGTTTATGAACTGTAGTACAAGGAATTTAACTCCCAACTGTTCTGAAATTTGTGCCAACTGCAATTACACCATGCTCCATGTTATGTAGCATTTCTGAGGTCACCAAACCAATGACAAATACAACTAGCTTCACAAACGCGCATGCGCGCACAAACACGCACATAAATGCATGAAGAGATATCATGCATTCTTATCATCTTGCATCCATCTCAATATATTCTAAATTTACACCATAAAAAGGAGCCAAAATGAGTGCCATTTGCAAGGACTGCACAAAGGAATAAACTTATTCGGTTTAACATTGTGGGAGAAATATTTTGACATTACACAAGATCTTGACATCTACAAGTGAAGAATTTATTGATAGAATATAAACTACTCGATGCCAATATGATGTCGAATCTTTATATGAATCCATTCTGTTAAAAAGAATGGATTCCCCTCATTCAAAGTCCAATTGTGATAGCAAAGGCTTATTTGAAAAGAAAGCCTCTAAGTTGCCTAAGATTACCTCTTGCAGTGCTGCAAAGGATTCTGGGGTTGCAACACTTTTATGTGGAGACAAAACAACATTATCCAATGCGAATAACTCTTTTGGCACGTTAGGTTCATTCTCAAACACATCGAGACCTGCACCTCCAATGTCACCTCGAACCAAAAACTGCACCAATTCCTTCTCATCAATAAGAGCCCCACGCCCAACATTAATAATGATACCTTCCTTCCCCAGTGCTGTCATGATATCCTTGTTAATTATGTGGCGGGTTTCTTCTGTCAACGCACAACAAATAATGAGAACATCACTGTTCACTGCAAGCTCATGGACATTTGCATAATAAGGAAATGGAGCATGCGACTTCTTCTTCCTCGAGTTGTACGCAATACTGCAGCCAAAAGCCTCCATCCTTTTAGCAATCATAGAGCCAATACTTCCCAGCCCCACTATCCCAATTCTTTTACTCCCTACCTGCAATAAAATCCATGTCACAATATTGCAGTGGTATATAATTCATTAAGTACAAAAACCAAATAGGTGAAACTTGCTCTATTACTATTCCTAACATTGTTCCCTGCAGGGCGTCCCCTCCGGATATAACATATCACATCAGATGTAGAAAAAGTTTCATTTTCAGTATGTCGATACCATTTGAGGATGATGAAGAATGAGTTTTCTAAACTTGATACTCTCAAGATTGCAGCATGTACCATATATGTAGAAGTAATGTAAGATGCCGATGGCAAAGAAATGGGGAGAAGTTACTTGCAACTATTTCTTGTCATAGCATAACATAACTAGTCCATGGGTTTCTGCATGTAATGCTTGGGAAAGGACTAAATGCTACATACTCCAACCCCTCTTATAATCCATGCCTTGAAACCATCTATAGACTAGTTTCTTGATTCCAAAATACTTTTCTAGATACCAATACCTAAGGAGGCCAAGAACAATAAGTGTTTCAAAAATAACAATAATATTTGATATAACATAACAAAATTCACAATTGCTACTCTTAGAACACGACTAACACTACAGCCACAAAGATTTAGAAACTGAAGGACATTTTGGCATCAAAACTCTGATATTGCATATATACCCTATAAATAAATTGTCTACTGATCTCCCAATCCTAAGTGAAGTTACTGAACTAATAGCATAATATGAAACTCCTATTGAACACAAGTTGATTGAAAGAAATGCACACATATTGTATAGGTGGCTAAATCAAGATATTAATTTCACTCCTCCATAGCATTTGCATTATCTGAAATCATAACACCTAATTTGTTCTGCTTTGTTTTATCTTTTTCAGTGTATTCTGGAAACTGTAGTAGTATCAGCTTCAAAATCATGATGACAAAGAGCACCTTACAATTAACATACAAAAATTAGTAGGATGGAACTTTTATGCATAGAATGATCATGTGACCATAATTCATCTCTATACATGGAGAAAAACATTTTTCAATCCCAATTTTGTCTCCAATCACAGAACAAAAAACTCTGTTTTGAGGGAAAAGATAACAAATACAGTAAATGTGGGTGAGTTCAATTTAACTTCCAGATCACTTTGCCACCCTGAAAGCCCATTTTAGGTTCAATTATCTCAAAAAAGGGTCAGTAATAAAAATAAAACAACACCCAACAAACACATTGTATTGGTTTGTTTATGATTTGTCAAGATACAATATGTCAAACTGGCACAAAGACAATCATGCTTCAGATGTTTCCAAAATAAACAAATTCATTATAAATTTCTACTCAAATAGGATATGCATTTAGAAGTCAGTCGTGAAAATGATTTCCACTCTATTATCCTACAAGCATGGATCGGAACTTTTTAACTGAAATTGGAAGAAAAATAATTTAAACTCTGTAGGTGTCAATCACCAATTGCTGACATGGCATGTTGAAAAGTCAACAAAACCCCTTAACTAAGACTTCGTGGCAAGTTGAAAAGTCAAGAACTGTATTATGCCCTTGAGGGCTTAACCCTCAAGCACCCCCAAGTCCTGGCATCGCACCAGGCCATCAAGCCTCGGAAACTTAACCCTCGAGCACTCCAAACCCTGGCATCACACTAGGTCATCAAAGCCTTGAGGAACCAACCCTCAAGCGACTCAAACCCTAGCAGCGCACCAGGTCAATAAGTCTCGAGGAACCAACCCCCGAGCGACTCAAACCCTGACAACGCACCAGGTCAATAGGCCTCGAGGAACCAACCCTCGACCAACTCAAACCCTGGCATCGCACCAGGTCAATAGGCCTCGAGGAACCAACCCTCGAGCAACCCAAACCCTGGCATCGCACCAGGCCAATAAGTCTCGAGGAACCAACCCTCGAGCAACTCCAACCTTAGCATCGCACCAGGCCAATAAGCATCGACGAAGCAACCCTCGAGCAACTCAAACCCTGGTACCAGGTCACTAAGCATTGAGAATCCAAACCTCGAACATTACAAACCTTAGCAACATACTAAGTTGCTAGGACTCAAAGGCTCAACCTATGGGCCCCTTCGACCCTCATAGTACCCTGAGGCATTAGAGCCCCAAGGAGCTCGTCTTTAAATTGCTATATCTCCTAAGTCCAAACATAGCACGAAACAAAGGTAGGGCCTTCTCAGCTATGTGGGACCTTACTTTGGGAAACTTAGAAGGTATGGTGGATGAGAAGTAAAGAAGTGCCTCCACTCCCAACGAGGCCCGATCAACGAGATGATGGAAATATATACATTATGCAAGCAAACCTTAAAATCACATTTAATGCTATGATATACTTGGCCAATTGACGGTCAAGTAAGAACAAAGAGCGTTTAATGCCCCAAATGGGGGAGACGCAATATAGTGCATGGCTCGATAAGAGGATTTGACCTCTTAGGCTCCTAGGCCTGTCATGACTACCCATATGGTCATGGTTAGGACCGAGACGCACAAGGAACTGTTAGTTAGCATGTTTCATGGCCTATAAATAGCACTGTTGCATGAAAGAAGAACAGGCGAGAAAAGGACTGTCATCAGAAATGTATATCTGCCCTACCTCCATCTTAATTTTGTAAGATGGGTCTTCTTCTCTTCCTTCACCAAACATCTTCTCTGTTTCCTTCATATTTGTATTCCGGATATGACCTTTGTTCGCTTGTTTATTGTGTTAATTAAAAAGAACCCTACAAACTCCAATTCCAATTCTAAGCTTTCAAAAGCGTAATATTTTTTATAAAATTAAAGTCAGTGTGTGTGAAAAATTGTGCATATATATGCGCGTGTGAAAATTTGTAATGTAGAAGTATTTGGAGTAAATATGAAGAGAATGTACTCGCTCGATACCAATTCAGATGAAATCTAATTAAACTGAGAATGAACATGAGAAAATTGATCAAGTTCAATCTAGAAGTGGTAAAATTGACCTTAGAACCAAGAGGATACTCTCCTTTCAGATGCCACAACCCGGCCCGAACGTACCGGTCCGCAGCGGAGATCCGGCGGAGAACGCCGATGAGTAGTGCGACGGCGCAGTCGGCTACGTCCTCGGAGAAGGCGTCGCCGGCGTTGGTGACTCTGACACCGCGGCGGCGGCACTCGGCGACGTCTATGTGGTCGACGCCGGCGCTGGAGCCCACGACGCACTCCACAGACGGGTACCGATCGAGTGTATCGGAGTTCACGGGTGTGGGACCCACGGAGAGCAAGACCCGGGCTTGGGCAGGTAAGGGTGACGAAGGGTCGGAGTCGTTCGGGTCGAATAGGAGGAAACGGGTCTCGAGTAACCTGAAAAAGAGCTTGAAGTGGGGAAGACGATGGACGAGAACCAGACGGAGGTTATCTGATTTGTAGGTTTCTTGGGATTGTTGAAGGTCTTGCGAAAAAGAAGCCATGGACGAGCTTTGGGATGAAAGGAGAAAATGCAAAAGTTGGCACTACTAAAAAGTCCTTTTGATTTTTGTTTGTATACGGGATTAGGTGAAATTGCTGTTTGGACGTGGACATCATCCATGAAGTGTTTTTCCTTGTCCATAAGTGGGTAAGCCGTAACAACACGGATCCTTTGCTATAATAACAGACTCAACCAACAACGACAGAGGGCTGTGATTTACTCACTTGGTCTTGTGCGAGTAATACGTGTGATTAGGAAATGCTCCTGGAGGGATCCAAATCTACTCCAGTGCACTTATTACATAATTTGAGTGAGAATTCAAAGGCTGAGATCAAACTACTTCAAGAATTTTTGCCACATCAGCGTTTGACACAAGCCAATTCAACATCCAATCAAAAAAATTACTAATGTACTCTCTTTTTTTTTATTACATATACTAATGCAGTAGATCTCTAACGTTCACTTATATATATATATATATATATATATATATATATATATTACACAAATCTTATATATAAAAATATATTATATACAAAAATATTTTATTCCATTCCTTTTCAGTAAAATTATAAATCTCAATACAACATACACTTGTACATTATATGTTGTCCAAAATTTTAGTCTAATTATACTATATATTATAGTATTATTTATTTAAATATTATCTGTAAATATAAAACAATAATCTATAATTATATAATTTATTATAATATATAGTTTAATATAATCAAATAAAACTATAAAATAAATGAACCTGATTAAAAGTCGAGACTAGAATTTGATTCTATATCCTTAAGACAGATTCGTCCCGCTATGGTGCTAACGGACTCAGTGACATCTATCTCCTAGGATACAACGACTTGTCTTTCTTCGGTAGTAGCACTGCAAACCAAAGGAATAAACGAATCGGCTCGGTGTAGTACTATCTGACTCGAACTCGGACTCCAAACGACTGACTAAGGCTCAAACCCACAGACTAAAGAAAGAAGGAGGAAGAAGAAAATTCAGAAGGATAGAAGAATTCTCTGAATTTTGGTGGGATTTAGGAGGGGTATTTATAGGCTAGATGGTGCCTTTTTCGAATGGGTGCAACCATTGGTTTACAATGGTTCAGGAAAAACTGCAGGTAGTTTATTTTGCAAAAGGATGCAACCATTGGTTCATAAAAAACTATTTTATGGTTTTAATTTAAATTAAATACCAAAACTGTTTTAATCCATTATGAAGCCCAGCAAACAAGCCCAATTCGGCCATCTTAATAAGCCAAGCAAAAATAAAATTAAAATCCAATCACACAAGCCCAATTTCGTTTAATAAAAAATTAAACATATTTCACAATCAAGCCCCGCCCCGCCCTAGCCCAGGTCAGGCGGGCGGCGCGCGTGTGTGGTAGTTGGTTCGGATCCAAGCTTGTCTAGGTCCTCCCTCTCTTAAAAACTTGGGTGCCCTTGGGCCCAAACCCAAATCTCAAACTAGGCTTATTTAAACTTAAATTGGTTTTAATAATTTTTCGATATGGGACAAACATTTCTCAAATTTTGCAAACACATTTAGACTTTATCAAACACCTTACTTTGGAGCTAATTTCTCATTCACCCGGAAACGAATTTGAGAAAATAAATATACCACGTTCATCTCCTTGCAGAGAGGAACGCGCTTGTCTATAGATCCGCAAAAAATTCTTAGCGGAATCTATTCAAAATCTCTTCCAAAGTTTATATTTTTAATGCCCCTGTTTCCAACAATCCCCCACATGAATGGAAATTTGCGTAAATTGCAAATGAAGAAGATACAAACACTATAAAGAGTATTATTGGAAAGTAACTACATCGGGATAGATAGCTTTTGGCTTTGAACCTTCCCTAGTGTATTACTATCGGATTTACTGGCTAACCAGTGAACATAATGTCTTGAACTGTTCAGCCGTTGATGTAAACCAAAACAATAGCAAACACACAGTTCCTTCCCACACAAAGTTAGTTCTCACGGTTGTGTTCATATGGCCCTGAACAACTCTTGGTATTTCATGAGTGCTCTAGAAAACTTAACCTTAGAAGTCTTCATAGAAGCGGCCCCACTTCACACTCATATAGGTGACTTCTTATTAAGAGTATCCTACTATACCCCACTTGAATTTTCAAGGTATAAGAGTCATTAAAAACATAGCTTATCCTACTCATCGATGTAGGTAGCATTGTCTCATCATAGAAATGGGTAGAAGATTAAATCTTCCCAGTGCTTCTGGTGAGCCATTCAGAATTTCTGTTGTCCTTTGAACCTAGATCTTGGTATCTCCAGTCAACTAGGTTGGGTTTCCATTAAGATGACTCGTTAGCTTTCGGCTTTAATCCCATTCCCCTCGATGAGCTATACACTTACCCTCTTATCAAACCTTTTGTAAACGGATCTGCTAAATTATCTTTTAACCTGATATAATCTACTGAGATTATCCCACTTGAGAGCGATTGTCTAACGGTATTATGTCATCGACGTATATGTCGAGACTTACCATTATACATATTACTTTGTGCCCTTCTAATTGCTGATTGACTATCGTAATGTATACATACAGAGGGCACAGGTTTATGCCTTCTAAGAAATTACGAAGCCACTAAGCTTCTTCACCAGCTTTATCCAAAGCAATAAATTCAGATTCCATGGTGGATCTAATAATACAAGTTTGTTTTGAAGATTTCCAAGATATGGCACATCCTCCAATAGTAAAAACATAGCCACTTGTGGATTTAGAATCCTTTGTATCTGATATCCGATTAGTATCACCGTATCCTTCAAGTACCGCTGGATATCTAGAATAATGTAATCCATAACTTATGGTATATTTTAAATGCCTTAGAACCCTGTTTATTGCAGTCCAATGGTTCTTTCCTGGATTACTTGTATATCTACTCAATTTATTAACTGAGTATATTATGTCTGGTCGTGTGCAATTCATCAAATACATTAAGCTTCCTATAATGCGAGAATACTCAAGTTGTGATATGCTAGAACCAGTATTTTTCGATAAATGAAGATTAACATCAACAGGAGTCTTTATAAGACTACTATCTTCCTTATTAAACTTTTCTAATATTTTATCAATATAGTGAGATTGAGATAATACTAGACCATCTAATGTTCTAGAAATCTTGATTCTTAGTATGACATCAGTTATACTTAAATCTTTCATATCGAAATTTTTGGTCAACATCTTTTTAGTAGTTTTGATTATAACATCATTATTACCCATTATTAACATATCATCCACATATAGACACACAATGACATATCCATTTTAAGTGTTTTTCACATAAACACATTTATCACACTCATTAATTTTAAAACCATTTGACAACATCACTTTGTCAAATTTTTCATGTCATTATGTAGGTGTTTATTTTAATCCATATAAGGATTTTATAAGTTTGCACACCTTCTTTTATTTTCCTGGAACAATAAAACCTTCAAGTTGTTCTATATAGATTTCCTCCTCTAATTCACCTTTCAAAAATGCAGTCTTAACATCCATTTGATGTATTTCTAAATTTTGCAATGCCGCAATAGCTAGTAACAATCTAATGGATGTTATTCTTATGACTTGTGAATATGTATTAAAATAATCCAAGCCTTCTTTTTGCCCGTATCCCTTAGTAACAAGTCGGGCTTTATATTTATCAATTGAACCATCAGGCTTCATCTTCCTCTTAAATATCCACTTATACCCTAAAGGTTTAGTACCAGGAGGAAGATCCACCAACTCCCAAGTATGATTTTACATGATGAATTCAATTTCACTATTTATGACTTCTTTCTATAGAGGAGCTTCAGGAGAAGGCATAGTTTCCTTATAGCTTTGTGGCTCATTCTCCAATATATATGTTAGAAAATCAGGACCAAATGACTTGAACGTTCTAAATTTTTTGCTACGTCTTGGTTCTTCCTTATTTTCATCATCTATAGACTCTTGGTCTATATTCTCTTGTATATTGCTATTAGCAATATTATGATTTCTTTTAAGGCCTAGTTTAGTGCGGTGGAATGGAATGCAAAGAAATTGGAATGGAATGGTTTTTATTCCATTCTTGTGTTTGGTGTCCAATTTTAAACTTGAAATCGTCACTTTCCACCATTCTTGGAGAATGGTCATTCCATCAAAATCATTCCACCATTTCACAAAAGGAATGACCATTCCATTCCAACTTTAGAAAAATACAAACTAAAAAAATATTAAAAAATAAAACCTAACAAATTACAAACCCACGCATCACCATCTCCTCCATCAAACAAACCGTCGGCATCATCACATCCTCTATCAAACCCACCGCCGGCATCATCACCTCTATCAAACCCACAACCAGCATCATCACATCCTCTGTCAAGCCCACTGCCGGTATCATCATCTCCTCTATCAAACCCACCGCCGGCATCATCACCTCCTCCATCAAACCGCCAGCGTCATCATCTCCTCCATCAAACCCACCACCGGCATCATCATCTCCTCCATCAAACCCACTGCCTGATCTTGAACTTCAAAGTGATGGACCAAGACACAATAAAAAATCAAAAGTAGATTTGAAGGCTTTTTTGTTTTTTGGTAAGTTAAAAAAATAATAATAATAAAATAAAAAAAGAAGATCTGAAGCTTTTTCGTGATACTTTCCAAATCTGTTTACATAAGCTTTTTCATTGATTTTGTGAAAGAATTGCTGAAACCATTCTTTCCAAATCAGATCCGTCCTCACCCGATCGCACTGAAGTTTGTAAATTGGATCACCATTCTTTCCAAATCGGATCACCATTCTTTCCATCGCCTTTTCTCGCCCCAATCTCCAACACCTCACTTGCCCAGTCTCTACTTTCTCTCTCTATCTATTGCCCCAATTTCATTCTTACATACCTATTTCTATCCACTAGATTGGAAAAAATTTGATGTTAATTTTTTAGTTAATTTTTTTTTTATTAATGATAAAGATAATTTGGAGAAAACAATATAAATGATGAATAAGGTAAAACATTATAAATTTAATCCATTTTTATTTTTAGTCCAACCAAAC